GCTCCTTCAGGTATACTGGGCTGAGGCCGAGACACAAATTTTCATGGCCCTCTGGCGGCTATGGTGGCTCATTTACCAGAAATAATGCATTCAGCATTAACTCTGGAAGTATATTCTTGATTCTGACCAAACCTAGACTCCTGATTTATATTGTGCATGCTTAGGTAATCTCTCAGCCTCGATAGCAATGTTCCCCCTCCACTGTCAGAGGCAGCACACTTCTGAATAACAGTTTTGATGTTCTTATGCTCAGGCGCTGCTCGAGTGGAGTGGAGAATTCCAAGGAATTGCTGTGATCGAGTGGTGCTCGAGGCACCACTGTAGGGTAAGTGCATCAAGGATTGCAGCCAACTATGGCTGGAGATGGTTCGATTGTAACCTCTTTTGCTGCCACCCACCAGATCCCAATGCAACAGTCTCTCGGAGCCCACCTTTGCATATCCTCTGTTCCTCTAGAGACAATGACCCAGCTGCAGAAGCGAGCCCTGCGGGGGTTCCTTTCCAGAAAAGTACCCCTTATTCGTTTAAAATGGCAAAAAGAATCCTCCGTCTCCAGGTGACATTTTCCTTCTGACCAGCAGGATGACTCTTATAATGAGCTGCGTGACATTCACCTGAGACAGCCAGACGGTACACAGACACACAGCTTCAGGGAAGGCAGTTGGGTGATGGGCTGGTCTTCCCCTCAGACACAGGGATAGGCTTGGGATCACTCGTGGGCTCAGAGAGGGCAGAGTGGAGAATTCCAAGGAATTGCTGTGATCACTTTTGGGCTCTGAAAGCGTTGCTGCCTCAAAATGCAGCTAGGTGATTCTTTTCCTTCTGTTCCAATGGAACCTTGTTTGGGGAGTGAGAGGGGAAAGCACATCAGAACACACTATTTCCTAAGGAATATGGTGGTACCTTGGGTTAAGAACTCAATTCGTTCTGGAGGTCCATTCTTAACCTGAAACTGTTCCTAACCTGAGGTACCACTTTAGCTAATGGGGCCTCCCACTGCTGCTGCACCGCTGCTGCGCAATTTCTGTTCTTATCCTGAAGCAAAGTTCTTAACCCGAGGTACTATTTCTGGGTTAGCGGAGTCTGTAACCTGAAGCGTGTGTAACCTGAAGTGTCTGTAACCCGAGGTACCACAGTACTTGAAAAAGATGTGGAATGTAATCCATTGGAGCAGTCAAATGCAACATTCCTTATTTCCCTAGAGTGAGCACAGGCAAGGGGACATCCAGTCAGTGTAACTTCCTGTTCCACTGGTCTGGAGCTTCCTCCTCCTGCATGTGACCTGGGAGATGGGCATGGCCTTGGCTGACTCCATAAAAAAGCTGAGAGTCATGCAGCCATTTTCTCAGTCTAGTTTTTGTCTAGTTTTCTCTTTTGCTGCCATGCTGCTCTCCTGCAGCCATTTTGTTTTCTTAATGTAATTTTGCTGTCTGCTGGGTCTCCGTCAGCAGCACATGAGTTCAGTCTCCCTATGAGATGAACTCACAGTTTGTTGTAACCACTAAGCAAAGTCTGCCTTTCAGGAATCATATTGTGAACTGAAATGTGAGTAAACTTTTTGTTACTTTACTCAGAAAGACTCTTGTGTCTTTCTTCTTTTAAGCGGGATTAAAGGGGACACCAGGAAATAATCTTAGCTAAGAGATTCAAACGAATCTGCAAACTAACTTCCAGCTATATTGAGGGAAATCTGCTCTGCTACAACACTTACTAGCGTGAGTGAAGGAAGGATAATACTTATTCAGTATATCCTTTCCTACAATCCTTACCATTCCCACAAAAGAGTAGGGTGAGGCCCTGTGGGTCACCTGTTCATGTGCCCAGAAATCCCTTTTACAGGTAAGAACAGTCTTTTCTCCATGACAGCAGGGGAGCTGCCACACTGCAAGTGAGATGTCACTATTACACCCCTCTATGTTTCTTGGCTTCTCAAGATCAGCCACCTCGGTCTCAAGAGAATGAAATTGTTCCCACCCACACCTTTTGCCTAGCAGACAGATAGCCGCACATGTGATATTCTATACAATACAATGGACAGTCCCCACATTGCATTAATTTACCTCTGAGCTTGTTATTTATTTGGTCACTAAGTGGAGAGAGGCAGAGCAGTTTGCTCTGGCCTGATTGCCCTGCTGCTGAACTTGCTCAGTTGCAGAACTCACTTGTTACCATGACACTTTGTCGCTGGGGTTGAGCCACGGCTTCATCCGAGACTCCCCTCTTGCCTGTGGAGTGGCTTCCCTTGCTAGGTTGTTCCAAATTTGGCTAGCTTCCTCCAGCTCCTAATGCAACTAGAAGGTCCTCGTTTGAAAAAACACAAGGAAGTGTGGGTCAATTTCTGGGCTAAACCAAATTCCAGTGAGTAGGAATTTGAAAGAGAGGGTAGTTTTGGCTCAGTTTAACCCCCTGGGAGTGGGGAGTAGACAATGGGTGGTGATTATTTGAGGATTAACACTCTGCAAGATTTTTCTTGAAACCAAAACTAGCATTTAACTGGGTGGTGGTTGTTATTTTTTACTGAACTGAACTGAAAGCGGAAACTTGGACTCAGACTGAGATTTACTATTTGACTTTACCTTGTATACTGCACTTAATAACATTTGACTGGACCTGCCATTGTGCATGAGGCTTTTTAAAAGTGCAAGTTGCACTGTAGTTGGAACATGTAAGCACAGGTTCCCCGTTCCTGAGCTGCAGTAAGATGGCCTTCTCCCTCACATGGCGGTCCCAGTAGGTTGTAAAATTGCCCGTTACTATGAACCAGAGCGAGTTACATAAAGTATTTACTGTATTGCCTGCGACCATCTTGACATGAAGCCAATGGGATGATTAGGTGACGTTTGCTCGGCTGGGGAAGGATTTCACTTGAGAACATCTGCTGCCCGCTCCGGTGGCCCGAGGTATTTTATGTAAGCTCCTGGCAGGAGTTTTACGCAGTGGAGTTGGTTTGTGCGTGGATGTGAGAAACATGACCTCGGCCAACTTTCAACCTTCCTGCCTTCAGTTCAGAGGGACAACCTTCCCTTCTGTCACAGTCTGGGCCTTGAGCTTGGAGTCTGAGGAGGAACATGAGCTGGTCAAGTCTGCTATTGGCCAAAGAGATCTTCATTCTGAGCCCGCTAAGCCAGAGTCTGCAGAAGCAGAGTTGGCCAACCTTTGCTTGAGCCTGAAGAGCCAAATGCCTCCTGCACCAGCACACCTGCTCTTTGGTCCAGGGTGTGTTGCATGGTGAGTTCCCGCCCCGCCCCCCCAGGTAGAAATAATGACACATTACACAATTATTAAGGTTAATGGGCTAAAACAGGCCACAACTTTATTGGTTACAGGTAATGAGCGGTATTGGCTTAGGCATTGGACCTAACCGACTATATCTGACTCCAGCCCGTCTGTTGGAAGTCCGGGAAGAGTTAACCACCAGTAGGGGGAGTCCTGCTGATGCTCATCAACTAGGAGCTCCCCCGGGGTCAACGATAGGGGGTGTGCCTTAGACCCTCACCTCCTTAGGCTTCGGACAGGGTCACGCCCCCTGGAATCCTTTATCAGACTACCCTTCAAAATGCGGGGCAGGTGATGACACTTCCTCCCCTCTTCAATCTACAGAGCTATTCCAATGCCTAACCGCCAATACCCAGAACGTTGTGACGATTTGCTACGAGGTAGGCGAAAATCAAGTGGCTAGAGCCAATTTGCCAAGTGGAAAAATTCCTACCAGGCCCCTCAACGGCGACCAACCGAGGTCCATAGCAAGGTCAAGGAACGAAAAACCTTAAAGGGCGGGAGGGTGGGAAAACCAGGGCAGCTGAAAGGTGGCAAACAAGGAGATCCCTGGCTGCGTCCTGCCTTTATGGGGCAGGCCACACCCCCGGACCAACCCAATTGGCTGGCTAGGGGTGTGACGTAGCCGGGAATCACCCAGTCGCGCAGGCGGAAGTGACTTTCTGGGCAGGAGACCACAGAGCACAGCAGGAGTATCCATCTCCATCCTTGGGGCAAGTGGGTGGCACTTAGGCACAAAGGCCACAGGGCATTTCCAGCCTTTGCCAGAGCAAGGTGCTCCTTCAGATATATTTGTGCCATTACATAGTAATGCTGCTGAGATCTGCTTGGGAGAACTTGAAGGCTTCAAGCCAACTCCCCATAGGAAGAGTGGGGAACCTCAGGCTCAGGGGCTGGATGTGGCCCTCTGGCCCTTGCTGCCTGGCCCTTTGGACTCTCCTCAGGCCACACCTCTTTCCTCAGGCCACACCCCTCACCAGATCGGCTCTAGCGTTTTTGCCCAACTGGCAGGTATCCTTGGAGGACCAACACCCAGCCTCACAGCCCTTCCACACAAAGAATCCTCTCTTGATGACCCTCCTTCCACCACCCTTCACTTCTTTCATGGATGCTGACGCAGCATCTCATGCTCTCCTCCTCAAGGCCACGCCTGCTAATTGCAGCTCAGGATTGGACAGCTGCCCAGCTGGAAAGGCAAGGAATCCTAGCAGCTCAGTTGGTAGCGCACGAGACTCTTAATCTCAGTGTCGGGAGTTTGAGCCCCACATTGGGCAAGAGATTTCTGCATTGCAGGGGGTTGGACTAGATGACTCTCATGGTCCCTCTCTGCAGTTAGTTCCATGATTTCCCGCATTGCTCATGCAAGGTGTAGCTAACATGGCGATGGTGGCAATGGACAGGGAAGGTGGATACAGCAACAAAGGAAGCTGCACTCATTACTTTCATGGCATTTACTTAAACCATTGGTGGAACAGGCAGCTCTGCTTCTGCATCAGAAATCGGGAAATGAAGGGAGAAACAGGAATTGCACAAGAGAGACTCCTACTGAAACCCTGAAGAGTCACTGTCAGTCAGAGTAGACAACACTGAGCTGGATGGATCAATGGTCTGATTTGGCATAAGACAGTTTCTTATGTCTATTGTAACCTATGGGGAACATAGAATCATAGAAGGGATCCTGAGGATCATCTAGTCCAACGCCCTGCAATGCAGGAATATGCAACTGTTCCATCTGGGGATCGAACCTGCAACCTTGGCATTATCAGCACCACGCTCTAACCAACTGAGCTAGGAAGTTACCTTATACTGAGTCAGACCACTGGTTCATGTAGCTCAGCACTGTCTGCTCTGACTGGCAGTGGCTCTCAATAAATAATAATAATAATAATAATACTTTCCTGAGATCTTCAGGTGAAGGGTGGTATACTACTACTACTACTACTACTACTAATATAATAATAATAATAATAATAATAATAATAATAATAATAATAATGTTATAATAATAATAATAATATAATGATGATGATGATGATGATAATAATAATAATAATAATAATAATAATAATAATAATAATATACAACAACAATGCAACCCACAGTAATGAACGCAGGTGGCTCAGGTTGAGATGGAGACTAAGCCTACCTAGACGGCAGCCCTATTCAGTTCAGTGGCGCTTACTCCCCGGTAAGTGGGGTTAGGAATGCATGCGAAGCCACCCTCAGGTGTACCCTGTGTATCTCTGCCAGCATCTGATGTGCCCTTTCTGCTATCACTGCCAGTGACACAGCCCTCTCCTTCGCCACGAATTTGCCTGGTCCCTTATCGTACACCGAACGAGCGTCTCTCGTCATTATGTAAGAGAAAAAAGACTGAGGGAATCTATCGATCGTCGTTTGGCCGGATAAATGCCCTGGCTTGTGACATTACATTAATGCTAAAGTGCTCTTGGGTGGTGAGTGGGGTGGGAAGGCAGTGATAGGGTACATGATGGAGAGGACAGAATGATGGGAGAGGGGAGGGAAAACAAGTCATTAAAAGGTTTTGGTAATAAAGATACATTTCCCTCCATACATCGACTTATTTGCTGTCTCAATTCTCCCTCCCATCCTTTCCGGCTAGGTTTTGGGACACAGCCAGATCTCTCCCCCCCAATCATTCCCTCTGCTGTTAAGCCATGTTATGAGGGGGAATTTCAACTCAGTTTGCATTTAAAGTGTTATTTTCCTAGAAAAAGAGGTGCCGGAACTCATCGTGAATACCTCCCTTGTTCTCTTAGTATGGCAATGGCGCCCACCTGAGAGGTGAGCTCTGGTGAGTTACGGCTGGGGGGGGGGGGAAGTCCCAGATCTACCTAAGTCTCACTTTGGGAAACGATAAAAGAGCCGTTCTTTGAAATTTGCACTGCTCTGAATTTTGCAATGCAGTTCTCAAGCCAAGAAATGTTTACAAAAATCCATATAGCAGGAGTGACTTGTCCCTTAAAAAAACATGTATTGGTGCAAATGACATTATATTAGGGGAAATTGCTTTGTGGAAATACGTTTATTGGGGGAAATGACATACGAAGTGTGTATTAGGAGGAATTTGTACTAAAACGCTGATGAATTTTCACGAGGACTTGAAAAAAATGTGGAAACGCGGAGATCTACTGAACTAAAGTTTAGGAAAAATGAGAAAGTGAGGGAAGCATAGTCTAACAGAGTTTCCCATTCCTTGCCATATAACAGCAATGGTTGCTTTTCTTAAAAAAGGAGGGTGTGGAACAGCCAGGCATAACTTCTATTTTATATCTGGGGAAAGGCTAAAAATTAAACAAGGATCAATCGAGATCTTGTGGAAGGGGTGGGTGGGAAACTTGTCTATATCTTTTTTAAGTGCCTTCAAGAAAAACTACAGATTTTCCTCAAAGGATAAAACTGATCAGTGTATATTTTTTCATTTACACTATACAGTCTACCCCGATGAGGATTTTGAAAAACTTAAGTTGAAACTTAAAAAGCATTCCTAAAATGGGTAATAATAATAATAATAATAATTTATTATTTATACCCCACCCATCTGGCTGGGCTTCCCCAGACACTCTGGGCAGCTTCCAAAAAAATATACATCAAACATTAAAAGCTTCCCTAAACAGGGCTGCCTTCAGATGTCTTCTAAAAGTCTGGGTAAAGAGCATAAGAGAGCACACCCAGATGATATATAAAGGGCTTCTTTTCTATACTCCCTCAAGGGAGTTGGACTTTCTTAGCTCTCTTGTAGAATGACAAAGATTCTTATTTCACAGAGGGCAGCCCTCTATTTGCAGGGCTCTTTGGTCCAACTCTGGCTTAAAGATAAAGTCCCCTCCAGATTGGAGGGGTTGTGTGTGTGTGTGTTTTATTTAATACAGTCATACCTCATGTTGCGTCTGCTTCAGGTTGCGTTTTTTTGGGTTGCGGACTGCTAAAACCCAGAAGTACCAGAACGGGTTACTTCTGGGTTTCGGCAGTCACGCATGCGCAGAAGTGCTAAATCGTGCTTTGCGCATGCACAGAAGCACTGAATCGCAACCCGCCTGTGCGCAGACGCGGGTTGCGAACGCTGCGGGTTGCAAACGTGCATCCCGCACGGATCACGTTCACAGCCCGAGCGTCCACTGTACAGTGAATCCTTGGCAGATTTATACTGGACTGCCTTGTGGATAAAATATCACTTTCTGCTTCCCCAGTGCACCCTTGCTGCCTGGAGAGGCGCTCTTTCAGCAAGTGGAACAAAAACTGGACCCTCAGAATATTTGTGGTATAAAGGTTTTGGGATTTCAGCAGGAAGATATGGAACTGGCGCTGAACGGAAATGAAGCAGTATGCCTGCCATGAAGCTTTTGCAGACGCAAAGCATATTTGCCATGAGATGGTGTTTAACTGCTCCAATGCCATCATGGACACAAATCGTCATGTATCTGCAATAAAAGGGATTCCTGAGAAGGAAGGAGAACACTGAGGAAAGGGCAACTGAAGTTGCCTACCAGCAGTTAGGACATGAAAAGTTAGGCTGAGCAGGAGCAAGGGCTCACCTTCTTCCCCACTAAGACAGGATGGCTTTTATTTCAATGGAAGTAGAGCAATTCCTTCTACATTTGTATCTACACGTAAATAAGTCAGCATGTACAGAATGTATGTAGATCCATGTCATCTCTTTTATCAGGAGCGGGTGTCAGGACCAGGTCAGTAATAACTCACACAGTGCCAGTGAATTTATTCAAAGAAAATGAGAACTCAGGAAGCCAGGCCTAGTGAGCGCAGCAACTCTTCCTGGCATCTCTTGAACAAGTCCCAATGTGCTCCCATGGCTGGTTTTTGCAGTTGCATACACTCAGTTCCAGCCACGATCCGTATGCATCCTGTCATTCCTTGGGAAATATCGCTTCCATCTGATTTGCAAAGGTAAGCCGTGGTTAAGCTGAGGTGTGTACATCTGAGACAGCCTTTGCACATGCACAGAGGACAACTTCACTGAACAGGAGTTTGGCGTGGGAAAACTAATCAGGTAATGCACATCGCGTGAAGGCATCCTCGCCGCCTCTCCGGTGCGCACAGCGACGTAAGAAAAAAGCCACCCCAAACACAGCATGGGAAAACGATCTCATTGTGTTTGAAGCTGCTTAAGGAGCACATAGCTTCTCTCTCGCCATGAGGGGCAGGAATAATTGGACATTTCGAAACATCCCCCCCCCCCCACAAAAGGACCGCGGCTGATGGCGGTTTCTTGCTGAGAGAATGCAGCGATGAAGGTGGGGAGGGGGAAACAAAGGCGATGGTGGCTGTGGGTGAAATAATCTGGGGGTGGGGGAAGGGAACAGGCTCTGGAAAAGCTCCAACCCAAGTAGCCAAAGAGGAAATGCAGAAGCCGAACTTGTGGCTAATAAGAGAGAGAGATTCAGTAGCTGCTGTTCTTGAGCGAAGCAGTAGGAGGGAGTGGAGCAGTGTGGGAAGGAAAGCTCCTCTCTCTTTCTCTTCTGCTGGTTGCCTGTGTTACATGCTCTGCTGAGAGAGAGAGAGAGAGGGAGCCTTCGCTGGGAAGCCAACTGCACTGAACTGCAGCAACATCACCCCCCCTCCAGATCAAATAGCCCAAGCCACCAACAGCACACAGCAAAAGAGGAGAAAGTGACCACAACTTCACAGTGCGAATCAGGACAGCACCTTCCTACCACTCCAGGCGCAAGCCTGCCAAGATTTGAGCCGGGATTAAACTGAACAACTCAAAGAAGACTTATTATTCTTGTTATTTTTTTCCGTGGGGAGGGGAAGATGGATCCTCTGTCCCTTCCCCAACCCCACTTGAGCCTGTCGCCAGCTCCCATGGGATAGAAGGGTTTGACATTAAATTCACTTGTATTGGATATTCCTGGGCATTAGTGGTTTTTTTTTTGTTTTCTTTTAGAAAAAGAGGAACTATATTTATATATACATTTTCCTCCAGAGGAGTAGGGGGAAAGTTGGATATTCTTCTTTTTTTTCTTCCCCCTGCTTGTTTCCAAAGATTTCTGCCCTTGTGGTTAAAATGGAGCGGTGGATTCACGACCCCAGGGCCAGCACAGCCCAAGTCTTGTGGGAAAAGAAGGAAGATCTAAGGAGGATCCCTACTTTCTCGGGACTTACAGGAAGGTTTTGGGATTTGGTGGGATCCATGCAGTGAGAGGTAAGTGATGAACGGGGTGATGAGGCAGTTGCAAATCGATGCATACCAATGTATAATATATGTACACAGCTGCAGGGGGCTGTATCGGTCTAGCAAGTTTTTCGGAAGGAACTGAAAAGAGCCATCTCATAGTGAATTACTCAGTCATGCCACAATCTGTAGCTATGAAATGAAGGCAGAGAATCGAGGAATGGGATGGAAGGAGCAGCTTCCGGGAACCGGAGGAATCCTCAAAGGTGAAATAGCACCAGCGTGGGCTGGCTTTGAGTCACAGAATCATGAGAGATAGAAGAGACCTTTGGAGATAATCTAGCACAGTTCAGCCTTCTAGTTTTTAACTACACACACACACACACAGAGGCTACAGATGCGTTTTAAATAGAGGGCAGACTCAGCCTCGCTTGCGAGAGAAAGCAGAACTAATATCTGTTGAATGATCCTCAGAGTGTATACTCTTTGCTCAAGTAGCAAAAGTCAATGGCTTGCTGGAACCGGCCGAGACCTAACCAGTTCGCTGTCCTTTGCCAGGATCCCAGTAACCTGTAGATATTAGGCATGTGATCCAGTAGAGGCCACCAGCCAGTGGTCCGTTGATGAACTGCGGTTGACCTTTTTGCCCCCTGTGCTGAGGCCAGATCCATTGCCACAGGAAACAGGCACTTATCTAGGGGGTAAAGCCCACCTTAGGCACAGGGGGGCTTCTGAGTAAACTGCAAAGAACTGAGCTACTAAACTAATAGTAATAAGAAGAGCAATTATTATTTTTATTTGTAGGATTTATTGAATGCCCTTCCCCATCATATTCCAGGGTGCGTTCTGATAATATCATCATGCAATTATAAAAAGAAGTAAATAGTGATAAAGGCAGTGTTATATCCATGGAAAACACCCCCCCCCAAAAAAAATCTTGGGAACTGTAGTTTACCCCTTAGAGGTACAATTACCAGCACCCTTGTTTCTAGGCTTCTTGGGTGGGAGGGAAATTGCTTTCAATGGATGTTGCAAACATAGCCAAAATGGGCTGATCCAGGCGAAGCAAAACCGGACAGTATGGATCCAATGAAAGAAGTGTTTCCCACAAAACAAAATACCTTACCTGTGAAATGAAAGGGTAAAGGTGACAATAAAGACAGACCTCTAGGCAACTGCTTTAAGAGGGCGTGGTGCTCTAAATTTACAGACAGGTAAATATTTTGGAGGGTGCTCCAAACAGTGCAGAGTTCAATATTCCGAAAGAGGGAAGATCTGGAGTAAGGCAGGATCTACATGAAAAGAGTGCAGGAAAATAAGGGAAAGTAGAAAAATAAAAATAAAAAAGCAGCAGAGGTTTTCCCATAGCCATCCTCCTCTGGTCCTCTGGCCTGAGAGATCATTTACATTGGTGATATGTGCTCTGCACTAAAATAATTGGGAGACTGAAATAGCCTTTTAAAACACTTGCTGTTTCTAACTGTCTAAAGTTTACACCATGTTAAACATTGCAACCCTATAGACATTTATCTTTGAGTAAGTCCCAGCAAGCTGAATGAGTAGGCGTGTACAAGATTGCACTGTAAATCCTTTATAGTCTCTGCACTGCTTTAAAAACAAAACAAAACCAGGGGGTTTTTTTTGTTCCAAACTCCTTTGCGATGTCTGTGATCGTGACCTCTGCGTTTCTGGATCTGCTTTGAAACGTTCCCAAAGCTCGTGTGCTTTTGTGTGTGTGTTTTGCGCACACAAGATCGCAAAAGTGACAGTGCTAAATAGACACACTTATTAGGGAGTAAGCCCCATAGAACATAGTGTACATAATAATATGTACACAGGATTGTGCTGTTAGCCTCTGTTCACCATCCTGAATGTTCACCTCTCTCTGAACTCACTTGAACCACTTTTACAGATTTGGAGAATGACAAAAAAAAAAAAAGTGTTTAAAGGGCAAAGATTATGGTTGTACCGGCTGGCACCAACCCCCCATCCCCCATTAGAACTGTAATAATAATAATAATAATAATAATAATTTGTACCCCACCCCTCTGACTGGGTTGCACCTTACTTCTGAGGAATGAACATTGAATACACTGGGACTTCCATTTGCTAAAACATGTATAAGATTGTGCTAAATGTGAGGGTTTTCTTTTAAAAAATAATTTTTATTGAGTTTCAGAACAAACTCAATAATATACTGAATAAAACCATACTGTATTCGGGAGGAAGGGGATCAGTCCTCCTCCTAAATGAGAGGTTTGTTTAAAAAAAACCCACCCTGTTTTTATAAGCATCCCTTGAAAGTAATTTGATTTTTCATTATTATACTGAATGCATTTTAAGTCTGCAAATACATACATGCATTTATTAATGGTGTTGAAGAGGCAACAAACACATCTACGTTAAATGATTATGGGTTTTATTCGAGGCTATCCCTACCCAGAGGAGCCCTATTGAAATTAATGGGCGTGACTCCTTCAGGTCCATTAATTTCAATGATTCTGCTCAACATAGAACTTAGTTGGTTACAGCCCAGTGAGAACATGTTAGAATTCAGCTAGGGTTTTTTTGAGGGGGCAGTACCCTTTGAGAAGAGAAGGAGGCTATCAGGCTAGATTTCCTCTCACCAAATTACCTGTTTTAAGACTCCATTCCTAGAGATGTTTCTCACCCCCTACCCCGTTTCTTCTGGAGTAATGAATTGCCTTGTCTTATGTCTTTAAAAGCAAGGAAAGAGTCTTAGAAATGTAGAGTTGAAAGGGACCACAAGGGTCATCTAGTCCAACCCACCGACATATGACTCGAACCCACGACCCTCAGATTAAATGTCTCTCGGTCTACCAACTGGGCCAGATTTAATTCAGCAGCCACCAGCGGCTGACCCCGCGTTACTAATAGTACTAATTGTAATGGCATTTGTAATGTGAAATGGATTGTGATGATTAGGGATATACAATAGTTGGATAAAGCATAAGATGAAGAAAACTTAAACTTTAAATATAAGAACCTATGGTTGAGAGGGGAGGGATTCTGAAGGTTCAGAGGACCTTGTAATTTAATGTTTGAATTGGTTAGAGTTAAAGTGTATAAAAATGTGAAAAGCTAATAAGAAATTTATAAAAAATTAAAATAAAATTCCCTATAACTCAAAAAAGAAAAAAAAGAGCTACTAATTCCAATGACACAACTAGGAAGTTTCCTACATAATATACATGAATCATTCATCCAGAATAAGAGAAATAACTTTTGCAACTGGTACTCTAAACCCAAATAGATAGATGATAGATAGATAGATAGATAGATAGATAGATAGATGATAGATAGATAGATATAGATGATAGATAGATGATAGATAGATAGATGATAGATAGATACTGTAGATAGATGATAGATGATAGATGATAGATAGATGATAGATAGATAGATAGATAGATAGATAGATAGATAGATAGATACCGTATTTTTTGCTCTATAAGACTCACTTTTCCCCTCCTAAAATGTCAGGGGAAATGTGAGTGCGTCTTATGGAGCGAATGCAGGCTGCGCAGCTATCCTAGAAGCCAGAACAGCAAGAGGGATTGCTGCCTTCACTGTGCAGTGATCCCTCTTGCTGTTCTGGCTTCTGAGATTCAGAATATTTTTTTTCTTGTTTTCCTCCTCCAAAAACTAGGTGCGTCTTGTGGTCTGGTGCGTCTTATAGAGCGAAAAATACGGTAGATAGATAGATAGATAGAAAGACTGGTTCTATACAGAGCAGATCCTAAGTTAGCTATGCCTATGAATTTCAATGGATACGACTAGCGCGCAATACAACCCAAAATCTTCCTCTGTGTGTCTTGCAACCCACACTCCATCGGTTACCTCCTTGCTTATCCACCTTCCTGTCAATCTCAGATAGCAATGAGCTGACAATGTATTCCTGTCCCCACTGGGCAAGCTGAAAACTATAGTGCTAATCAGGAAAAGCAAAATCACACATCTAAAAAGACATTGTGCTACAGGAATAGCAACATCTCTCTACAAGAGCTGGCAATGATAATTTCCCCTCCGAGTATTATATTTGGAAAGTGCCTTCAATTACCACCTTAATGTCTCGCTGGCTGGCTTGGTGTGGCGGACTAGAATAGCAGGCATCTTTGAGGAGCAAGAATCCTAGAGGGAAATGTACTGGCAGAGTAGCACCTAAGCGTGTCGATTTCAGACCTGTTAAAGCAGCAGGAGTGTGATCACAGCAAAGCTGCAAGGCTGTGTGTGTTTTAGAAACCTTTGTTCCGATGGCAGCCGCCTGCTCTGTAAGAACAGCGTAAGCGAAGAATCTATTTTTGCCGCCTGTTCTTAGAAAGATCTGTGGCAGCTTATTTACCAGCACATATTGTTGTTGTTGTTTAGTCATTTAGTCGTGTCTGACTCTTCGTGCCCCCCTGGACCAGAGCATGCCAGGCACTTCTGTCTTCCACTGTCTCCCGCAGTTTGGTCAAATTCATGCTGGTAGCTTCAAGAACACTGTCCAACCATCTCGTCCTCTGTTGTCCCCTTCTCCTTGTGCCCTCCATCTTTCCCAACATCAGGGTCTTTTCCAGGGAGTCTTCTCTTCTCATGAGGTGGCCAAAGTATTGGAGCCTCAGCTTCAGGATCTGTCCTTCCAGTGAGCACTCAGGGCCGATTTCCTTAAGAATGGATACGTTTGATCTTCTTGCAGTCCATGGGACTCTCAAGAGTCTCCTCCAGCACCATAATTCAAAAGCATCAATTCTTCGGCGATCAGCCTTCTTTATGGTCCAGCTTTCACTTCCATACATCACTACTGGGAAAACCATAGCTTTTACTATATGGACCTTTGTTGGTGATGTCGCTACTTTTTAAGATGCTGTCTATTTTTTTTTTTTAAGATGCTGTGTATATTGAGACATGACAATTTTTAGGGAAATGGTCCATACCGAGAGGTTGGGGGTTGGAGTTCTTACAACCAAAGTCTGAGTGCACAGGGGGTTGGGCAGCTAATAGCCTCCTCAGACTGGAAATCTGGGCACAGAAACATCACTCATACCTTCATAGATCCAAAGCCCACATCTTTGAATTGTCCATGGAAAACGGTATTGTCAAATCCTATAAAAATAGCTCCCCCATCCCCACTGGTACTTCAGCAAATCTGCAGCCTGGACTCTAAACTAATATTTGCCTCTCCCAGGAAGTTGGAACCCCTCTATCTAATTATTAATAATTGTGCTCGCATGTCTTGCCCATCCACTGAGAAACTCAGGGCATCTCTACAGGTAAAGTTATCCTCATGTTCACCCAGGTTCCAGCCTGAACTGTTACTATACCACACCTGAGCGATGGAGGGAAGAGGCTGCCCAAGGGATTGGTCCAAGATCACCCAGTCTTTTTCAGAGCTGCATGGGGATTTGAACCCAAGGCTCACCACTCCAGCTGCAAAACAAGCCACACTACCTTTCAAAGCCCATGGCTACTTTACTGTGAACTCTGAAAGATGTTCTCCCTTATACAAGGCACTGCTGTCCTCTGGAGGAGCGAGCAGAAGAAGTTAGCACATCAAACCATTGGTCTTTCCGGCTCAGTATTGTCTACATCAGGGATGGGGAAGTTGTGGCCCTCCAGATGCTATTGGACTACAGCTACCATCATCCTTGACCACTGGCCATGCTGACTGTGGCTGGCTGGTGGGAGTCCACAATATATGGAAGCTACTGTGTTGTCTACCCTTGGTCTAGACCAGTGCTCTTCAGCCTTGGGTCTCCACGTGTTCTTGGACTACAACTCCCATCACCCCCAGTCATCTTAGCCGATGGTGATGGATGCTGGGAGCTGTAGTCCAACAGCATCTCAGGACCCTAGATCAAAGAACACTGCTGTAGATAACTCTGAGACAGATGGACAGCTTCTTCTAACAGGAAAGATGCCAGCAAAATGCCTTAGACCAGTCCTAAAGCCCACTGCCTTTTAAAACTGAACGTTTGCTTTTCTAGCAATGTTATTAAGATGCAGGGGTTAAAATATCATTCCAAGGGCGTGTCTACATGGCCCGTTTGCTCAATATTCATTCTGATTTGTTTGCAGGGAGATTAAATGGCACTGGTTAATTTATTGAACCTTCATTATGATTTGTTTGCGGGAACGGTATGCAGTGTTGAACCAAGCAGGTGTTAAATTACTCCACCCCAAAGAAGGGATGTTTTTTGAAAGCTATGGACTATGCAGGAATGGCAATGCTGACGGCAATATTAAGAGATCAAAACGATGAACTTTTTATAGAACAATGGAGGCCTTTTTTGGACTATTTGGAAAAGCATGAAACAAAATCGCGGGCAGGATTCGAGATAGGAGCAGCGAAACAAAAACGATAAAGTGTTAGAGGGATTTTGGTAACACACGAGAATTTGATCTACAACGCAGTAGAAAAGAGTTTGAATGAAAAGACTGTGGAAGTGTGGGTGGGAAGTCAAGACATGAAACAATGTAACTATTTAATCTGAGGTTAATTAGTAAAAAAATGGAAATTCAATAAAAAAAATTATATTGGGGAGGGGGGAAATTAAATTACTCCCCCCCACATGTTCCGCTGCCTTTTCTCATCACTCGTCTTACTGCAAAAGGTCTGAACTTTTGGGGAAGGAGGCTGGTCACACAAGACTAGAATTGTGCAGTGTAAATAAGCTGGTATGTGATTGGATCTCACCTGAAAATAACTGTCTTGCAAAGGCCCTGGAACTTTAATTTTACAGTACCCTTGTCAGGCAGGTTAAGCTCAGAGTAGGCAGCCTGAATTCACCCATCACATGTTGGGACTGGCAGAGATTTAAACTTGAGATTCCCTAAAATGAAATCCAGTAGGATAGCAGCTGCTCGGTTTGGGAGATAGTTGCAATTACTCAGCGGCAAATCATTGTTGTGCTTTTAGCAGCCTCTCCTTCTCCAGAAACCAGCAGGCAAAGCTGTTCACAGCACAGAGGCAAATATCAATCAACTGCCAATGTTTGCAGATCAAGCTGCACAAGCGCAGAGGTTGGTTAAAAAAAAAAAGTTGGCAAGTCTGTCAACAAGGGAAAGGTGGGATCCTGCACATTCTTAAATATATATATATTGTTGCATGTATTTGATAGCTGAGTTTTGTGAGCCCCCTGGTTTGCAAACTAAATTAGGACTTGAGTTCGAATCTCACCTCTGCTAAGAGCTTCACTCTACAGCTTTAGGAAGACACCAACTCAACCCCAGGTCCACTGCCCCATCTACTTAAAAGACTCTGTGGTAAAAGAGATGAAATAAAGCAGATCTGGGGCTCTGAAGCCTTGCTCTGCACAACACCTTTGTCCTACATTTCCATGTATCTCCCTATATACATAAAAACGTAATGTTGTCATCACACAGCCCCCATGGGGTGATTTCTAATCATCTGTATACAGGCAATGGACTTATTCTCAGGAGTATGGATCCTTTTTTAAATGTAAAAACAGCACCACCCACTCAGAATTAGGGCAGCAGGCTCAGGTTTTGCAGAATTACTGTACAAAAATCTTGTTTTAAGGGGGAAGAAGTCCTAATTGGGGAGGTGGCACTGAACAGCCCACTGGGAATTGAGCATGCTCAGTAGGCATGGACTGTTGGAGAGAAACCCAGAGGGGAGGAGGAGGAATGGAATAACCTGCAAAATGGCATGGCTGGCTGGAAACCTGTGCAGGGCATCCTATACTACAACATTTTGTTGCAGCTCTCATTTGTTTACATCTCTTTCTAGCTTTTGAAGGGCGTTCCGGGTTGCCAACTTCTCCCTCCCCAACTTGGGCTATGAATGGTTGCATAACAACAAGCAGGGAGATCATGCAGAGGGGTTGCTTTTTTCGCTCAGAAGATGTCATGCTTGGGGATGGTTCCTCTGCTGTTTGCTTTTTGTTTTTGTTTTAAATAGTGCCCTGCAGCTGTTGGAGGCACAGGAAGCTCACCCGACAAACAGGGGTGGGAACTTGAATGAGTTATTCTTGTTTGGCTGGCAGGTGGGCTGTGCTGGATGCGATGAGGGCGCTTCTCTAACTTTGGAAGGAAGGCAATGGTCTTCTCTTAAACTTGGCCTGGTGGGTGGTGACCGTTCTCTGCTTCTCTCTGGGGCACGAGGCTTCAAGATGTGGTGAGAAAACCAGTCCTGTTGCATTTGGGGAGCCTCCTGTTCATTCAGCCGAGTTGGACTCTGGCTGTGTGCCCTAAGTCCTGCCCTGACAGCACCCCAGTCTAGGAGGATCAAATGATCACCATGGTTCCTTGAACATTTGGGGCACAAGGACCCAGGGCAATTGGGAAGGGGCCCAAATTTGGTTTTCCCTGGAATGACCTCCTGGCTAAGCCTGGGTTTATCATCCTGTTCAAGAGTTTTGCACCTGTAGCCACAGGTTCTAATCTCAGCTAAAGCAAGCCACTGGCTCTTGCCGTAAATTCTACTTGTAGTCTGGAACATGTGGGCTAATAGAGGCAGTCTACCTTACAGGGTTGTTGTTAAGGCTGCTGAAATAGTGAATTGGAGAACACTGAGGAGAAGCATGCTCAATTGGAGAGAGAGACAGGGAGGAAAGTTGAAAGGACTTTGGGGAGAACGGAAGCTGCTTTGCAGTGCCTTCCCATACATGCCTGCTCAGAAGTAGGGTTGCATTTTGTTTGAACATCTCGATGCTGAGCTTCACTGCACAGATTTTCTTAAAATTCTCATTTCGCTCCTTGATCTCGCTGACAAGCAAGTTATTCCCCCAACCCCCGGTTCTGGTAAAAAAATGTGAACTATTGCATATGATATGCATTATTATCTGTGATATTATACACATATGAATATAGATTCCAGGTTTCCTAAAGTAATTAGTAGATGAACAGGTACTTACAACAATGCAAATAACTGTATAAAAATACAGTTCGGTATTTTATTACTTATAAAATCATGATGTAGAACTATACGGCAGCATGGGTGTGACTCTTTTGTGTGTATTATGTGTGTCCTATTCATGAGCTGCTTGGATATAAGCAGGCAGATGATGCAAAAGATGGTTTGATGTGGGCAAAGTTTGGCTGAGATGGAATATGTGTATAAATCCATTTACAATTGATTCCTCTTCCATCTCTACTCAATAGTAGACCCTACAGAGGTCAATGCAGTTTATTCCTGGGTAAGCGTTTTGCAGGCTGGCAGACATCTGTTTATGTATATGTCTGCTTCGCATGGTTCTGGAATCACTGTATGTGAATAAGAAGATAATAAAGTTTAATTTTGCTAGCAGTTCGGAGTTGATGCAATCTGAAGTGAATTGCGGCCTGAGCTTTTTTATTGAGGTCTGTTTTTATTATCCTCATTCGTTCTGGTGTCCTATTTGTATTACTGAAGTTCAGGTGTGAGCCTCATTCCTTATCTCTCTATACTATATTTGCACGAGTCAGTCATCATCACGCTGTCTTCATTGCCTACTTCCCAAAGTCTAAACCAGGGGTCAGCAAACTTTTTCAGCAGGGGGCCGGTCCACTGTCCCTCAGACCTTGTGGGGGGCAGGACTATATTTTGAAAAAAATAATGAACAAATTCCTATGCCCCACAAATAACCCAGAGGTGCATTTTAAATAAAAGCACACATTCTACTCATGTAAAAACACACTGATTCCCGGACCTTCTGTGGGCTGGATTTAGAAGATGATTGGGCCGGATCCGCCCCCCGGGCCTTAGTTTGCCTACCCATGGTCTAAAGGTAGGGGTGAGGGAAGGAACAGGAAGGTAAAGGAGGGAACATGTCTATAGTAAATAACTTGGAGGCAGGAGGGTTAAGGCAAAGCCTGGCAGGGGAAAGCAGGGTCTCTCTGTGTGTCAGTTTCCCCACAGAGTTCTCTTCAGCCACCATTTATAGACTCACAGCTGCCCCTCTGCCTCTACACGTACTTATTTACTTCATGAAATTTAATGCCACTGACTGGTTGGTTGCAGAGGAACAATGGGATGAAGAAGCCCAGAGTCCAGGGGAGTGTGGTGGGATGACCATGAGTGGTCAGAGGGAGAAGAGGGAACAGACAGGGACAAGGAGGTGTGGGAAGCTGAGGAGATAACAAGGCTTAGGACTCAGCTATACAGCTGAAAAGAAAACGTTTTAAGTGAAATATACAAAGGTGACACAAGATGGCGACAGTGAGCTATGGCAAATTCAATGTCTTTTTCAAAACGTTTTTTTAAAAAAAGCATTTTCACAGCATTTTTTAATATGTGTGTAGATTCCACCTCAGTGAGCTGGGAGTGTCTGTGGCAGAGAGAAGTCCAGACTCAGAGGCAGAAGCTGAAGCAGGAGAGGAGGGAGGCCAGGAGGCAGAGAGAGGTTAGGCTTGTGAAGAGTCACAGGTGTCTCCCTCTCCTGCTGTGACAAGCTCCCTTCTCCCAGGTCTGCCAAAAACAGAAGAGGCATGAAACAGGCAGAAAACAAGTTAGCTCCATGCAGGCGCAGTCTTGGGGAAACCCTGGAGAGGAAGGCACTTAGGCAGCTGTGGGAAAGTGGAGACCTTCTGTTTCTGCAACCACTTCATGAGGGCCAGACCTGCTGGAAATGAGTTGCTGTGCTCATTAGGCCTAATAATGAGTTAATAATGAGTTAACACAAACTTGCACAGTGCGATTTACTTCTGGCTCGCTCCTCTCATTGATATGGGGGGGAGGGGAGTTGTTTGCAAAAAAAGACAAAATGGTAATATAATCACTAAAAAAACCTACAGTCAAAATCCAGGACATACAAAAAGTAAAAACAAATTAAAACTCATGCAAGCTGTTATAAAAAAAAACTGCTCCCTTTCCCTTATCCAAGAGCCCGTATAGAGTCCTTAAGTGGATTCCCTATCAGTGGGAGAAAAAAGCAGAGGCTAACCAGAGAATATTGAGAAGCAAAGAGGCTAGTAAGCCTGATCTTTATTAAAGGTCCTCACTCACCACACGCAGGAGGGAGGAGAACCCTGAACAATGGTACGCAAGCCCTTATATAGACTTTTGAAACTGCCCACCCTGTAGCCCAAGACCACCCCCCAAAACATCATACATACATCACAGAAGGAGGCGGACTCCAGCAGAAATCCTGATTGCTAGAATATCTGTTAATGGTCACTGATTGCATTACCTGGGCAGCCTGGCCATTCTTTTGTGATGGTTAATACTTTTAATTCCTGAAAGCAGGTCACAGGCTCACCCTATTCATAAACAAATACGCCCTTAAGACAGGATCTGTAAGCAAAAGACAAAGGGAAGGCTTTCCCATTTCCTTCCTAATTGCAGAGAAATATCTGAGGCCAATTTGGGAGAGTCAAAATGGCTTCAGGATTGCTCTCCCGTACTATTTCAGACACGTGGTTTATATACTTATGTATGCGTTTGCCTTGTACATTTACAGACATTTCATCTATATTTGGGACCTTAGAATTCTGATAACAAAGCTTTCTAAGCAACTGGTCAGGCTGGCCTAAATAAGAAGGTCTCCAGCAGCTTCACAAAATGACAAGGCAGAAAATTGTGTAGCTGTTGCCTGAGGGTGGGCTGAGAGCCAGCTCCTAGCTAGAGTCTGTCCTGTCAGGTGCCACCCGCCTTGAGAAACTGGAGTAACTCAATATCTCCGTGTGGTACACTGTAACCTTTGAAAGTCTGCCACGGCGAGACTGGGAGATCCTCAAAGGCTGCTAAATGCAGCCTTCCTGAGGGGAAGCTTTGTGTTTTCTTCCCTGCCCCTCCCCCCCCGAAGTCTTTATCATATTCCCCCCTTCCTTCCTTGGGATGGGAGGTGGGGAAGGGAGGTCAAATTCAGCCACGGCATTCACTGCGTAGTGGCACAGAGTTTGTGGGGCCAAAGCCCGGGCTCCCCCTACCCTCCCCTCTCCGGTCACCCTGTGACTGCCCCCCTCTGCTATCTGATCCTGCCCCAACAGTTGGCATAAGTGAAGAGCATATGTGTGAATTTAAGGAGGGAGACAAGGACATGGAAGTGTGTATTTCAAGTCCAGGTGGAAAAATATATGCCTCTGTGTCCGTGAGAGAGGCCTCGGTTGTTTAGGTTTTGGTGGGCAAACGACAACCGCAGGTGGAATTCAGGTGATGCTGTGTTTGTGTATGTCTGCCAACCAGGCTACTATTATCTCAGGGTCTCAGTACCTAACCTTTAACCCCTCAGACCTTGTGGGAGGGCGGACTATATTTTGAAGAAGAAAAATGAACCAATTCCTATGCCCCGCAAATAACCCAGAGATGCATTTTAAATAAAAGCACACATTCTACTCATGTAAAAACACCAGGCAGGCCGCACAAATACAACAACAGCAAGAAGAAACTCCTCCCAAGTACATCCAGTACGGGTCATATGACACACACACACTGAGCTAACATCCGGTGCTCAGTACAGAATGGACTGCCCCTTTGTTCCCATGGCAACAGTCACAAACATCCTGTCTGGCTTTCCAGCCACAAGCAGCTGGCTGAGCTGCTAGAGCCTTTGCTTGCTGCAGCATTGGTGCTTTATGGTAACATACTCCCCCTAAAGTATCAATGTGTGCTGCGAGCAAAGCGTCATCCAGAGAAGAAAACAAACAGTTGTTATATTTATAACATTCCCCTGTTGTTTCAGTTCCACCCTTGGAACTACCCGCCACTGGTTTAACCAATGTACCTCTCTGGTTGTGTGACTTCGCATTACCTTGGTTAACAACTCTCTGTTGTGCCTTTGTCTCTGACTCAGACACAGCTTCAAGCTGTCCTTGGTCGTTTACAATAGCAACATATGCAAGGTTAGCAAACTCCTTTGAATACCTCTTGGGTGGTACACCCTTCGTTGCTCTCTCAGACCTGCGTATGAGGTTCTGATCTTCTGTGCTCACTGGTTCAACCTTTGGACTCTGTTGAGAACCAGTAGCAATCAGTGGTTCATCCTCCTCTTCTGAGGGTCTAGTCATTATGTGAGATTTCCTCTCAATGACTGTGACAACTGAGCTGTCTGAGCTATCGCTGTCATCATCAGTACTACTGAACTCAATAAGATCAAACTCATCATCATCATCATCATCAGAATCGTTTCCTGTGGGAAATGTCTGTACTATCCGCTCTTGCTTTGGAGCACTCTCTAGGAACTTTGTGAGAATCACCTGACCAGATTCAGACAAAATTACTCTGTAGAGACCTTTTTCATAACCCACAAAAATGCCTCTGGCATTCTTTACACCACCTGGAGCTTCTGTTCTCACATGAGACCCGAAAACCTTAAAATAGGCAACAGAAGGTTTTCTATTGAACAGCTTCTCAAAAGGAGAACATCCCAACTCTGTTGAGACCTTTCTCAACCACACATGAAGATAGGACGCTAGCGATTCGGCCCAATATTCATGTGGCAAATGTGAACTCAGCAATTGCGCATTCATCCCCTTTTGCAATTCTTTGTTCACTTTCACACAGACCCCCCTGTTCCACGCTTCTTGCGAAACTGCAACTTTGTGGTCTATCCTTTTTCCATCCAGGAACTTCTGAAACTTCTGCAACAGAAAAATTTGCTTCTCATCTGTGAAAAGACAATCAATGTTAGCATCATGCATACTTTTAACCTTGTCACAAAACTCCTGAAACTTTTCTAAAGTTTCTTGCGGTTTCTCCATCATATAAACCCAAGAATAATTAGTGAAACAATCCACACACAAAAGGTAAAATCGTGCACCGCCTCTAGATGGTTCTAGAGGACCAATCACATCAGCATACACCCGCTGAAATGCTCTGTCGACCTTCTTGGTCTTAGTCACCTTCCTGGTGCTCACACTGGTCACTCCTGCAAGAGAGATTTCGTTAGAAACAGCAGAATTACATTTCATGTAATCACTTTGATCAAAAGTCAACAAATACAGTCCATCTTTCTCTTTGGCAGTAAGAAACAGTTCTCCATCTTTGTAGATCTTGCAGCTTTTAGCATCATAGGACAGTTTCAGTCCTTTCTTTGCAATCTGCGACACGCTCAGCAGATTAAATCTCAGTTCTGGAACCAGGTAAACATCACTTATAGTCAAGTTCAGACTCTCAAGATACACAGTCCCAATTCCAGTTGCTTCCAACTCCTGACCGTTGGCCTGTTTCACAGTGAAGCTTTGCTTCTTCAACGTCGAAAATAGTCCTCTGTGCGGGCACATGTGAACCGTTGCGCCCGTGTCAATTATGAACGAGTTCCCAACATCTGGCGTGGTTCCTTTCGCCATCATAGCCTTTGCAGGTTTCACCTGGCACTTGGTACGGCTTTTGCCTGACGCCTGAGGCTTCGTAGAGCTGCTCTTTGCTCCTCTTGACTGGCGCGGCTTCTTACAGTTTCGCTGTAGATGCCCAGTCTGTCCACAATTGTAGCATCGGACAGCACTCAATGCTACACCATGCTCTCCAGTAGCATCAGCAGTGGGGAATTAGAACTCTGTTCTTCCCTCCCCCTGTCTTTTTCTTCCAGTGCAGCAAGTCTGTCGTGTTCATTCAGGACCACAGCACAAACTCTCTCCGCGGTCAGCTGCGCGGCCGGTAGGGAACCAAGCTGACTGGCAACAACCTTGTAGGTGCGGCTAAGGCTGTTTATCATCATGAAGCAAAACACTTCCTCCTGAAGACGGAAATTGCGTTCCACCATCTGTTGACGCAGAAACTTCATTTCTGTCAGGTGCGCTTGAACATCTCCATCAGGCGCAAGTCTCAGATTGGTCAATTTCTCAAAATACAGCAACGCTGAAGAACCAGCATCTCTCTGATGCGTTGTACGCAGCGTGTCCCATACCTCTTTCGCATTTTCTAAATGCTGAACATGCACCAACTGATCATCTGAGACACACAGAATTATAGCAGTCCTGGCCCTTACATTCTGTGACTCCCAACCTCTGGTTGGTGCTGCAGGGATGGGGTTTTCAATTACATCAAAAAGCCTCTGATTCTGCAGCAGGGCCTTCATCTTTACAGACCAAGATGAATAATTGTCATTGGTCAAGGGAGGTGGGCAAGGCAAACCTCCCCCTTTCTGGGCATCCATCTTGAAGCCAAGCCTCTCTCACCTCCAAACAAGCTGCAAAATCCAACAGCTGTTTTTTCTTTCTCACGCAGCAAACACCAAGAGATGCATTTTAAATAAAGGACACATTCTACTCATGTAAAACCACGCTGATTCCCGGACTGTCCACGGGCCGGATTGAGAAGGGATTGGGCTGGATCCGGCCCCCCGGCCTTAGTTTGCCTACCCATGCTTCAACCTGTGTTATGTTCCTATTTTTTAAATGCTCACCCACGCTACGTTCACAGAAAGCAATGGAGATATTTAGGAAATTGGGTTTTTAAAAAAATATTTTGATCCATAATCCTTAGTATAGATTGTAATAGAAATAACCTTTTGATTAAAATATAAATTCTATCTATTTCTATCTATCCTATATGACCATAGACACACCTTTTCCCCTTCCATTAAATAGACTATCGCAGAGCACCTCAGATATTGTTTGGTCATATATTTTCTGATTTACCTCTTGGCCTGGTTGCTCGACACTGAACGATGACCCTCAAGGAACCACAATTTGAGGCAATATGTTGGTTGCCTCCTATGTGGGGTCCTTATTCAATTAGAACCCCACTCCTGCAAGTCTTTTAAGTGAGCAAAGGGGAATGCTGACCCTGCTGCACACAAAAACAAAAGCTGTATGTGCGCCTGTCCTTGTTGGCTCTTTATAATACCTCTTCAGGCATTTTTATTTCAGTTTGCTTCTTATTAACATCCATAGATTCATAGAATTGTAGAGTTGGAATGGACCACAAGGGTCATCTAAGTCCAATGAAGGAATATTTTGCCCAACATAGAACTTGAACTCACAGCCCTGAGCTTAAGAGTCTTGAGGTAATTTAGAAATATTTTCATAACGGAATACAAGTGCCCCATAATAGTTCTCCTGCACTGGTAAGAAACTGATCTTTAAGCATGGTGACCAAATACACTTCGGAACTCCCTGCCAATTGACACCAGGCAGGTGGTTTCGCTGTGAACTTTTCAGCACCTGCTTAAAACATTTTTGTTTAGGCAAGCCTCATGCAGATATGTAACATGCAGACATGCATTTAACCTCTCTCTCTTTTTGCTTACTGTTCATTCAAAAAATAATAATGAGTGTTTTTAAATACTGTATCTGTTTTCAACCGTCCTGTTGATAATTTAAATGTTTTGGGGTTGTTTTTTTTGTAAACAGCTTGTAAAACTTTGTAAACAGTTTTATTACAATCTAGCGGTATATAAATGTTGTGAAATGACATAAATAAGAGGAGAGGTCCCTGCCCCAATGAGCTTACAATGTAAGCTTTTTCATAAGGAGAGAGCAGAGGAAGGGGGCAGGAAAAGAAGGCAGGAAGGGGCAAAGGAAGACTGTTTTATGTACCTGTGCTTGGTTTTAGAAAGGCAGGGGGAGCAAGTGGCTTTATGGAAAGGGTGGGGGGGGGTCATTGGACTGAAGGGGCGTTTGGTTGAGATGTCAGCCTTACAGGGAGAAGAAAGTTGCCAAAGGTCAGACTTTTAGAAGACATCTGAAGGCAGCCCTGTTTAGGGAAGCTTTTAATGTTTGATGCATTACTGTATTTTAATATTTTGTTGGAAGCCGCCCAGAGTGGCTGGGAAAGCCCAGCCAGATGGGCGGGGTATAAATAATAAATTATTACAGTGGTACCTTGGGTTAAGTACTTAATTCGTTCCAGAGGTCCGTACTTAACCTGAAACTGTTCTTAACCTGAAGCACCACTTTAGCTAATGGGGCCTCCCACTGCTGCCGCGCCACCGGAGCACAGTTTCTGTTCTTATCTTGAAGCAAAGTTCTTAACCTGAAGCATTATTTCTGGGTTAGCGGAGTCTGTAACCTGAAGCGTATGTAACCCGAGGTACCACTGTAGTATTATTATTATTATTATTATTATTATTATTATTATTATTATTCACTGCTTCCGACTTGCTGAAAGGAGAATGTTGGGAGTCAGCCACTTGGAAGAGGCAGGATGCGGTCCCTGGCCACCTCAGAACCACGCAGCTTGTCTACACCAGGCAAAATGTGATGTATGGGAGATGCCACCACACTGACTGGTGTACCCAGCTCATAAAACTAATGTTCTTACTGCAGCGGGTTCAGGATCAGGGTGAGGTTGGGAAGAATGCTTTTCATGTGTTGACATTTGGGACCAGTCTATTTCTGGTCTGAGTCAATTTCACATCTGCTCATTCGTAAGAACATAGGAAGGGCTCTGCTGGATTAGACAATCCTGTCCACCATCCGATTCTCACCGTGGCTGACCAGATGTCTATGGAAAGCCCCCAAGCAGACAAGGTTGCTGGGTATGTTTAGCCTTGGAAAGATGAAACTGAGAGGGGATATGATAGCCATCTTCCAATATCTCAAAGGCTGTCACATGGAAGAGGGAGCAAGCTTGTTTTCTCCTGGTCCGGAGGGTAGGAACTCGAACCAGTTGCTGTTATAGCCAAAATCGGTTTGAAATCCACATCGTGATAATGGTTTCATAATATCTGACATGGCAATACATCGCAAATCACAATGTGTGTGTGTGCTATATAAAAAACTGTGATGGGGGGAAACCGTGAAGCCGGTTATTGCTTCCCTTGTGATTTCTGCTGCCGCTGTTGCTCTGTACTATAAAATAACAGTTGTAACCCTATGTTAAAAGTAAGTAAAAACGTCCCAGTTTTAGACTCTGAAGTAGTAGTAGTAGTAGCCACGACATTATGCTGTTTGCCTCGACAGTGGTACCTTGGTTCTCAAACTTAATCCGTTCCGGAAGTCCGTTCCAAAACCAAAGCGTTCCAAAACCAAGGCGTGCTCTCCCATAGAAAGTAATGCAAAACAGATTAATCCGTTCCAGACTTTTAAAAACAACCCCTAAAACAGCAATTTAACATGAATTTTACTATCTAACGAGACCATTGATCCATAAAATGAAAGCAATAATCAATGTACTGTACTATAAAATAAATAAGACCATATTGCAGGTGATAAAAATTAAAATTAATGTTTTTTCTTATCTGCACTGATGATAGTCGTTGTTTGGATGGTGAGGGCTTTTATCCATTTCCACAGTCACACAATCAATCAATTAATCAGTAGCTGAACTGGGTTCCACATAGCCACAAAAACAAATTAAACAAAAAAGCCTCAAAAACGCAAAATAAAAAGCAAAAACATAAGCGCCAAATACAGTGGTACCTTGGTTCTCGAACTTAAACCATTCCAGAAGTCCATTTGACTTCCGAAATGTTCGAAAACCAAAGCGCAGCTTCTGATTGGTGCGGGCGCCCTGGAAACAACAGCTGATAGCTGCATCGGACGTTCGGCTTCCGAAAAATGTTTGAAAACCGGAACACTTACTTCTGGGTTTTCGATGTTTGGGAACCAAGGTGTTTGAGAACCAAGGCACCACTGTATATACAGTAGTTACATCCACATTTCAGACGTGGTGATACAGTATATCAGTATATTGTGATGTTTAGCTGGTGATATATCACAAAGTTGAAAACCAGATATCGCCCAGCCCTACTATTTGTCTCTACATAAGGTAAAGGTAAAGGGACCCCTGACCATTAGGTCTAGTCGTGGCCGACTCTGGGGTTGCGGCGCTCATCTTGCTTTATTGGCCAAGGGAGCCAGCGTACAGCTTTCGGGTCATGTGGCCAGAATGACTAAGCCTCTTTTGGCGAACCAGAGCAGCGCACAGAAACGCCGTTTACCTTCCCGCTTTCGAACTGCTAGGTTGGCAGGAGCAGGGACCGAGCAATGGGAGCTCACCCAGTCGCAGGGATTCGAACCGCCGACCTTCTGATCGGCAAGTCCTAGACTCTGTGGTTTAACCCACAGTGCCACCCGCGTCCCTTTGTCTCTATATAGTTCCATCCTTATTCCAGACCTTGTGATATATCGGTATATCAAGACGTTTAGCTGATGATAAATCATGATGTTGAAAGACATCACAGTTCACTCGTGCACCATAAATTCAGCTCGCTTGCCTGCTGCCCCTCTTGCTTGCCCACTCTGCTCCCCTGCCCCACTGCCAGCCTCGCTTCCTTGCCTGCTGCCTTACTTGTTCACCACATCCCTTGCCTGCCTCCTTTGCTCCCCTCACCCTGGAGCCTGCACAGCCCATCACCAGTGTGACAACAGACTAGCAAAAAACAGCACAGAGAGAAAACACACATTTGTAGTGTGTGTTTTTGGTACGTCTTTTGAGTGAAGAACTGCTGCAACAAAGTTTGGAATCCAAAGGATAGTTATGCACCGATGTGGATATTATTCTGGGAGCTGCAGATCACATCAGTTTAAATTGCAATTTGCAGAAATCAGATGCCTCGAAAAGAATAGTAAGTGCAATCGGATGAAGAGCTCCCCCCCCCCCCCGACAGAGGTTTGACCTGGTGAGCTTCTGTTGTGTTGTGGTTTCTATGCTCCCTGGTATTTACAGGAAGTTCTAGGTGCTGCACCTTTTCTCTTTAAATTTGCTTGAATTGGATGAACTTTTAATCTGTTTTGCTGTTCAGTTGTTCTTTTCGTGTTTGATAATGTGAGACGTCTTGAGCCTTTAGAATGTATTCATCTATTGTTTTCAATCTAGGTAGGCTGCTTTTCACCATAAATGGAGAAGTCAGCATATCGAAGGATGGCTGTGTTTTGACTTGTGTATTGCTTCAGAAAGTACAAATTAGACTAGTCTGCTTTTAGTTCAGTTGGTTAGAGCATGTCGCCGATGACGCTAAGGTTGCAGGTTCGATCCCCATATGGGAGAGCTGAATATTCCTGCATTGCAGGGGGTTGGACTAGATGATTCTCAGGGTCCCTTCCAACAATTCTATGATTCTGCTGTTTGTTTCAGGGGCTGAATGGATGACATTTCTGTACAGCTTGCTCCTTTTATACAGAAAACTATCACCTCAAAGAGAAGTTTAAGCTACAGTACTTTCCCCTGGCATGCTAGCTTTCTGTGTCTGAAGGGTTTTGTGGGGGGGGGGGAGCATATGTCATAGAAACATAAAGGTAAAGGTAAAGGGACCCCTGACCATTAGGTCCAGTCGTGGCCGACTCTGGGGTTGTGGCGCTCATCTCGCTTTATTGGCCAAGGGAGCCGGCGTACAGCTTCTGGGTCATGTGGCCAGCATGACTAAGCCGCTTCAGGCGAACCAGAGCAGCGCACGGAAACGCCAATTACCTTCCCGCCAGAGCAGTACCTATTTATCTGCTTGCACTTGGACGTGCTTTCGAAGTTTTAGGTTGGCAGGAGCAGGGACCGAGCAACGGGAGCTCACCCCGTTGCGGGGATTCGAACCGCCAACCTTCTGATTGGCAAGTCCTAGGCTCTGTGGTTTAACCCACAGCGCCACCCGTGTCCCACACATAGAAACATAGGAAACTGCCTTATGCAGAGTCAGGCCATTGGTCCATCTAGCTCAGTATTGTCTACATCAGGGACATCCAATTCCCAATAGACTGTGGTCTACTGGCTGTGATCAACCCATTGTACAAAGACTGGCAGTGCTCTACCCAAAGTTGTGGAGCTTTTTTTTAGGAAGCCAAAGTTGTTGAGTTGGGATGGGTTTTTTTGGGAACACCCCGCAATCTACACATAAATCACGATCTATCTGTTGGAAATGCTGGGTCTACATTGACTGGCAGCAGTTCTCAGGGTTTCAGAAAAGGTTCTCCCCCAGCTCCATCCAGAGAGGCTAGGATTGAACCCAGGACCTTCTGTACTCAAAGCAGATGGTCGACCACTGACCCATGGTCATTCCCTGTCAGAATCTCCCCACGTGTAGTCCGAAGTGGGATAGTCATGGGCCAGGACTGTGTCCTGTGCTGCTTTCGTCCAGTGAACGATGTGTCCATTTCCAATGTGGCAGGAAGGAAGAAGAAGAAGAAGAAGAGGAGGAGGAGGAGGAGGAGGAGGAGGAGGAGGAGGAGGAGGAGTTTGGATTTGATATCCCGCTTTATCACTACCCAAAGGAGTCTCAAAGCAGCTAACAGTCTCCTTTCCCTTCCTCCCCCACAACAAACACTCTGTGAGGTGAGTGGGGCTGAGAGACTTCACAGAAGTGTGACTAGCCGAAGGTCACCCAGCAGCTGCATGTGGAGGAGCGGGGAAGCGAACCCGGTTCCCCAGATTACGAATCTACCGCTCTCAACCACTACACCACACTGGCTCCATGTATGCACACATGCACAGATTGGCCTCTGAGCTATTCCTGGCTCCCTGAACTAGAGGCCAAACAGTTGCCAGTGGATTGCGCTGTAGGCGTTCTGCAAAACCGAAAGGGCTGCTTGAGTGTTGCAAGCAACATCAGTTTCGACTCAACACTGTTTTTAGAAGGAGAGGCATATACAGTATATACATTATATAGTGCCCATATAGCATGCTGGAAAAGAGGGGTAAGGTGGTCATAACTCAGTGTCAGAGTTGCTGCCTTGCATGCTAGAAGGGTCCAGGTTCCAGCCCTGGGATCTCCAATTAAAACCCCAGAATCATAGAATGGAGAAGAGTTTGTTAAAGCCTGTACAGCTGTTTCATAAACCTTGGGTTAAATATATAAATCAGAATTATCCTGTATCAATCCAAATGGAGGAAGTTGATGGGGTGGGAGATATTTCCCATAACACTATTTTTTTTAAAGAAGTGAGATAGGACTTTGTGCAATGTATTTTTGTCAATGCTTCTTTCAAAATATTTGTCTCCAAACAGACAAGAAGCTATTGAAAATATTCTAAGAGTTTAACCTTTGTGTGTAATGTTTGGAACTAAGTAATAAGTTACTTGCATTGCAGGGCGTTGGAGTAGATGAGCCTTGGGGCCTCTAGGAGAAGACTGGGAGTTGGAGGTGTTTGAAGAGGTAACAGGGCTTAGTGAGCAGGGAGGGTCTGTGGCAGAAAGGAGGCCAAAATCAGAGGCAGGAGAGGGGGGAGGCCGAGAGGCAGAGATGAGTCTGGCGGGGGAAGAGGCATCGGTGTCTCCCCATCCTGCTGCAACAAGCTCCCCTCCTCCCTTATCTCCCAGAACCAGAAGAGACATAAAACAGGTGGATGAGAGGTTGGCTGCATGCAGGCAGAGTCTCCGATTACTTGGCTGTGAGGAGCTGGGGTCTTTTTCAGTCTCAGCAACTGGTTTTCATGGTTTTGCTAAGAAACTGTTCAAACTCCAACTTTGAACTGTGTGATTACTGACCAGCACGCTCCTTTGACACCAGTGACAGATTGGGAATATCAGAAACGATACGATAATCTTTATTGTCATTGTCCCATACAGAACAACTAAATTGAAAAATCTGCATTCAAAAACCAACAAGCTTGCTATCCCAGCTATCCCAACCTGGTTAGCCCCCTAAAAACTCTGATACCCCATTTTAAAATACAATATACTGCCACACAGACTCCTTACAATGCGTTTAAAACCAAAATCACATTTGGGTAGAAACTGTTTCTCAGGCGGCTAGTCCTAGTCTTTATAACCCTGTACCTTCTTCCAGAAGGCAGAAGCTGAAAGAGAAAAACCGATATTGACAGGTTTGCTGAGTCCCTGCCCCTAAGTCTGCGCAGCTGTTTCAGCTACAAGATTTCCTCACCGCCCCAATCTGGATTGTGGGAAAGAATATCTGTGCAACTGAATGCCTCAAAAATCCTGTAATTATTGTGTCATCCCCCACCTTCCCCCCATACAAAAAAAAAAAGCACCTTGTCAAACACCCACCTCTAACTGGGGAGCATTTTAATGCATTTTGGAGAGGCACCTGAGAACGTTCTGTGGCTTTGTGTGTGCATATTATCTTTCTCTCGTGTGTATATTTGTGGGAGCTTGTGGGCTGCGGAGTGAAGGATAATTTATGGCTCTGCTTGCTAATGGAGTAACTGATGGGGCCAAATCAACCTTCTGCCACCTTGTTAAAAAATCCTCCTAAAATTAAATCCTTACAGGAGCGGGTGGTTGGTTTTTCCTCCTTCCCTTCTCTTCTTCTGCAAGTGATTTGCTGAACCAGGTCTGAGTGGGGTGAGCTGCAAAGAAAGGCCTTGTGGAAGCAATGTCTTGCCACAGGCTGCGTCTGCTAAAAAGGAGTGTCATTGTGTAGCTGGAGGTGTAGCTGCACCCCCACTAAGTATGAGATGCTCACTGAGGCTTCCAGCAGCGACTAATGGAACTCAGAGCTCAGTCACTGGGAAGAACCATCCTTCAGAATGGACCCTCCCTGTCTCTTCTCTGCGGGGTTCTAAGTATCGCCTTTTGTTCCGTCTTTAGGGCATGTGGCCGATGAACCGGCTTGCTCCATTTAAAAAACAAACAGACTAGGCTGAAAACCTTTCTCTTGTAGTGGGGGTGGGCGTCTTAGCCTCAGGTCCCAAGGAACAGCCCTACCTAGGAAAGAGAAAACCCATCAGAAAGACTCTCTTTTGTAAGAGAAATTGCAGGCAGCTTCCCATGACAGAGGAGAAAAACCCGCTAGCCACAACTTTTATTTAGGACAGCTCGAAACGTCGCAAAATAGCAAGCTTTCAAGTCCTCCAGAGCTCCTCATCAGGCTGGGTGCTAGAGTAGGGGAGATAAACAGTGAAACAGGCTTGCTTTTATAGCCAGAAAGTCTGCATTGGGTCACAGTGGGCTCATCCACAGGGGTTCTCCACAGATAGGTTTGTGAGGCTGGTGGGAGAGCTTTACTTTCTTTTCCCCTTAGGTATGAAAAGAAGGGAGGCCAGGTTTCATCAAAGGTATTTTCCTTTATGACCCCAGTGGAATCTACACACATATAAAAAACGCTGTGAAAATGCTTTTAAAAAAAGTTTTTAAAAATATACCGAATTTGCCGTAAGCCCGCCATCGCCATCTAGTGTCGCATTCGTATAATGCACTTAAAACACACTTAAAATGTTATATTTGCAGCTGTATAGCTCAGTTCCCCATTTGCAACTCTTCTAAGACCAGTTAGTCATTCTGAACTAGCTCTATCCCAAATATTATTGGGATACAGGTCTGCACTTTAAAGTGCTGTGTTCAAATGCTCCCCCCTGTTTTCCCCATGAAAACTTGTTCTTTAACGCTGATTTGGAATAAACGGGTTTTCTGCAGATTGCTGTTTATGCCAATTCAGCGGTAAAGAGTGGGTTTTCACAGAGAAAGTGCTGGGGTGAAAAACAAAATGCTCAGAAACAAGGCTTTGAAGTGCTGACCTGTGCCTAGAAACACAGCACAAAGGGAAGTCTGGATGAGACCAGTCTTACTAATGGAGTTGGGGGGAAATAGAGAAAGGAATTCAATTCAGTTTGCAGTTAAAGGTAAAACTCCCTAGTTTACACTTTCTGTAACATTACGCAAACTGATGCAAAGCCAGCCTTCAAAATTTGCAGTTCTCCAGATTTTATGGTCTAAACCACTGAGCCTAGTGCTTGCCGATCGGAAGGTCGGCGGTTTGAATCCCTGTGATGGGGTGAGCTCCCGTTGTTCGGTTTCAGCTCCTGCCAACCTAGCAGTTTGAAAGCACACCAGTGCAAGTAGATAAATAGGTACTGCTGTGGCGGGAAGGTAAACGGCGTTTCTGTGCGCTGCACTGGTTTCGCCAGAAGCGTCTTGGTCATGCTGGCCACATGACCCAGAAAAACTGTGGACAAATGCCGGCTCCCTCAGCCAGTAAAGAGAGATGAGCACCACAACCCCAGAGTCGTTCGCGACTGGACTTAACTGTCAGGGGTCCTTTACCTTTACCTTCTCTAGCCAAGTAACACATACTGTAGATGTGTGCCATAAAGTGTACATAAAAAGGCATGCATCCGTCTAAGCGATATTGCAGGAACGCATTACAATTCAGAGAAAATACATATTGAACTCGCATAAATGTAGGGTTGCCTGTATGGTTCGAAGTGACTTTTCCACAAGGAGAAAAGTCCAGTTGTCCCTTCGGAGGCCAACCTTTTGTGCTATCCTCTCCTGTGAGGCAAAACCACTTTGCCGGCTTTGATACGGCTGTGCGTGCAAGCTGTCCTCACAGCGCCATCCAAGCTTGCGCGACTCCAGGGCTCACAACCCTCTGAGGACCGTGGGGAGTTGCTCTTTTTCTTCTCCTCCCTTCAACCTTTTAGCTAACGAGGAAACAAATGCCTGGGATATTTGTAGCGACCCTGGAGAAGCTGGAGTTGGAAGGTCAGTGTGGGTCTAGCAGAGGAGGCCTTGCACAGCTGAAGGGACCACCAGTCGCCAAGGAAACCAACCGCAACCTGTCAGTGGCAGATGCTCAGGCCGGCCTGTGTGGCTTTGTTCCCCGACGAAAGGGAAAGGCCTGCAATGGGGGAAGGAGTGCAAAGGAAGGGAAACAAGAGAACCATAGAATTTTTGAAGGGCAGAGTTGGAAGAGGCCACGGTGGTCACCTAGCCCAACGCCCTGCAATGCACAAATCTTTTGCCGAAAGTAATTGTGATGATATGATATGTGGATGAGGGTGAAACCAGTCGTGTGTGTGTGTGTGTGTGTGTGTGCGATATATAACATTTTATAAAACATGCATTTTACTAATTCTCCTGTTTAAACGAGAAGCAGAAAACCGGAACTTTAATTGTCTGTTCTGACATTGTGTCACCTCAAATACAGTTTTGGATTTTGGGGCTGGTTTGTTTATTAGTTGCTGCATTTATATCCCAGCTTTTCTCCAAAAGAGCTGAAGGTGGCATATTTTCTCCCCCTTTCCATTTTTGTGAGGTAGATTGGGCTGAGGGCATACCCTCCAACATTCCTCAGATGAAAATAGGGGCATTTCTCATGCCTCTCAGCTGACCGTCCTTGACCCCCCCCTCATTTTTTGTGTCCCTCACCCAACCCAGCCACAAAGCATAACTAATAATAATAATAGTAATAGAGCATTTCTTATAAGAAGTGCAAATGCCACCGCCACTTAACCAACAGGACACAACACATGCACCCTCTACCGTTCTGAGAAAGCCCCTTAAGCCCAGTTTTATTTAATTTTATTCTTTGATAAATTTACAAAGAGAAAAACAAACACCAACAAATACATTTTAGAAAGGGGCAAGATTAGACACAGGCACACAAGACTTTTTTTAAAAAAGAAAAGAAAATCAAGACCCCATGTGCTTCTTTCTGCTCCCCCTTTCTTCCCGCCGAGGGCTGCCCTGCCCTCTGCCTACCCCTCAGAGCCAGCGCATCATGTAAGGCTAGGCCTTGGCAATGGCAGCCTCTCCTTCTCCTCTCCTATTCTCCAGCAGCTGCTATGAGCTGCCGGAGAAAGGACCTTGTCAGCGTTGGCCAGGGAGAGGCAATGGAGAGACAATGGGATTCACCCTCGCAGCCGCAGCTGCTTCTTGGGGCAAACACCGGCTCATATTGGTCCCCGAGATGAGTGGCAGTAGCACTGGAAGGGGAAATAGGGACATTCCAGGATCAATTCAGAAGCCAGGATGGCTTTCATAATTCCGGGACTGTCCCTGGAGGATCAGTGCACTTGGAGGGCATGTAATCCTCCTTTTAAAGATTCAAAGAAAGCCAGTTCTCCATTTCGCTGATTTGGGGGGCGGAGGACCTAGCAAAACATTAAATAGCAGATTGGAACTGATCGTGCTGGTGTTATGTAGCCTAATTGGGCAGGACTTATTAGAACAGGAAGCTAATGCTACAAGATGTTAGGAGACGAGGAGCACGCTCCCTCCCTCCACACTCGCTGCCACGAACTGATCAATATTTCTTCCCTGAAAGGTATTTATTTCAAAGAATAGAAAGATCTCAGCCAGCAGAGCACTCAGGGGTCTGCATTTATAGGTTGTATCAAGAGTTAACTTCCTGTCCCCACATGATCAAAAGCTGAGGTCAGGTCTACAAAGGTCACACACACAGAGCGTGGTTTGTTTGTTTTTTAAAAAAATCATTGATCAAATTAGAGGCAAACATTTTACATCGATCACCGCCATACCTTGCCAATGTGTGATATCTTGTGCAACCTGTTTCAGACAATGTGTTCTTCCTCCTCCTCTTCCTTCTCGCTGTTAACGTAGTGAAACGATTTCCCTCATCCAAACCTGAAATCATAAACCCTCCTGGCCTTTGCCCACTAACACACAGCTGGAGGAGGAAACCCCATCCCTCCTTGCCCAGTACCTCTTGACCCTCTTAATGGCTTCCTTGATGGGTTAACAATTGGTCACCATCAGCCTTCGTCCCTCCAGTGACCCCCACTCAGCTAGCACTGCCAAGCTGGTTCGTTTGCATAAACTGAAGTCCACGTTTGGCCCATTTTATTCAAGCCTCGATTAATTCTAACGTTTACTAAATCCAGGAATTAGGGGGAGGTTCTGGCACCCAGGAGTTTAGGGGATCCTTGTCCACCTCAAAAATATATATATAATGAAATGTGGTGTGGACATGGCCTCAAATTGACAGACTCATCCATCCTTACTCTGAACACAACACGCCAGTAGATACAACAGCTGTTAGTCTGGTTCTCCTTTCCTACCTCCATAACATGGTTATGGGAACTACGGAGAGGATGACCCCATCTGTCATTCACTGGGCTGTTGCAAAGGCATCCCCATTGCAACTGTGCTCATTCAGTGGGCACTCCAGACATAAGTCACAATAAAAGCTGCTTGGTGGTTGCGATGCAACTCATTAGAGTCTCCTCATTGTGAGCAATGAAATCGGCTCTCCTCAGCATACCTGAGCACGTCTGCTAATCTACCTCTCCTCTCGGGATGCCTTTTAATGAGGGAAGATGGATAGCTCTTCTCAAGGACTTCCTTTGTGTCTATTAGCCACTGCCAAGCTGGGCTCATTTGCATCTCTCCATATGTTTTTTTGGAGATGTGGCGTGGTCCTGAAAGTTAGTCAGAATCATAGAATTGTAGAGTCAGAAGGGACACTGAGGATCATCTCGTCCAACCCCCTGCAATGCAGGAATTTGCATCTGTCCCGTATGGGGATTGAACCTGTGACCTTGGCGTTATCAGCACCACGCTCTAACCAACTGAGCTATCCAGAGGGAGAAAGTTCTGCAGCCCCATGTTCTGCTTTATAGAGAACAGGCCTCTGTTTGAAAGAGTCCTCTGCTCAGAAGGCTACCCAGTCCAAGCCCAGTTCAACTTAGCTTAGCCCCTTAAGCCTGAGACTCCCCAGCTCTGGTGCAAGGGGTAGACCTCCCACTCATACTTAGGGACATAGGAAACTGTCTAATGCTGAATTAGAGCACCGGACCATCTAACTCAGGCATGTCCAAGGTCCGTTTTGGGGGCCTAAACTGGGGTAAAATCCTAGAAAAACTTCAATAAGTCCAACCCTTAAAAAAGTTCAACAACTTCAATCTTCAATCCTAAAAAAAAGGTCAACAACTTTGGTTGGCTCTTCGGTCAGCCCCCACGGCCCTTCACTTCATCAAATCTGGCCCTCTTTGAAAAAAGTTTGGACACCACTGATCTAACTCAATATTGTCGACACTGACTGGCAGCGACTCTCCGTGGTTTCAAGCTGGGTGTCATGGGCTGGTTGGACACAGAGGAGTGGTGGGAGGCACCAGCTGGGGAACCCCCAAGGGAAGAAAGAGCCTGGGGGGTTGGTGGTGGGGCAATGATAAGTCGTTAGAGGGAGAAGAATAAGAAGACTGGGGCGGAGGGGGAAGGTGTCAGAAGCTGAAGAGGTCACAGGGTTTAGTGAGCTGGGATAGTCTGTGGCAGAGAGCAGTCCAGAAGCAGAAGCAGGAGAGGATGGAGGCCCAGAGGCAGAGACGACTCTGGCGGGTGAAGAGGTCCCCTTCACCTGGGTAGGTTGCCGGACCCCAGGAAGGGGCAAGTGGTGTTTTTGTGTGTGTGTGTTTGAATATTTTTTATTAGGTATTTCAGCATAACAAGTCATCAAAAACACACCATCCTCATTTTCTCTCCCCATTTTTCCCTCCCCCCCTCCCCAAGAAATAAAAACCCACCCCCTGGACTTCCCTCAAGTCCTCTCTCTGGTTTTTCAGCACATGTTATTCCCTGCATATTATAAAATTGTAAAGATCCTTAATTTCTCTATCTCTATGTTACCAAAAAAAAGTTTGTGAGTGTTTATTCAAAACCTGCCAAGGAGTCCAATTCATTTTGTTGTTTCTTTGTAAAAGGTTCCCATTCTTCTTTAAAGTCACAGTTGTCCTTATCACGTAGTTTATGTGTCAACTTCGCCAATTCCTCATAGTCCATAAGTTTCTCGTGCCACAATTCTTTGGTTGGGATTTCTTTGTTCTTCCATCCTTGTGCTATTAAGACTCTTGCCGCCGTTGTCGCATACATAAAGATGTTTTTCAATTTCCTTGGCAGGCCGGGGTGAGGCAAGTGTTGCACCCCCTATGGTGGGTTTGGCAGGCAGGGTGGTGATGCCCTCCCCTTCTTCTCCCTCTCTCTAGGCCAGCCGAGGGATGGGGCGCACGTGGTGGGCGTCCCTTCTCCAGCCACAAGGAGAAGGAGGCGCCATTGCCAGTGTTATGTACTGAAGTTCTCACCCTGGGCCAGCAGGGGATACTGTAGATAGTTCAGGTCCAAATATGCAAATAAGGGATCGAAAGTGACGTTCAGTGATTGGATAGTTACAGAAAGTTGTTACAGTTACATTGTACTGGAGCTCTATATAAGCAGGCTGGCTGAACCCTTGAGTTCAGTTCTGTTCTGACCTGTGAATAAACAAGAGCTGTTTGAAGAATCGCTGTGTCGTCTGATATATTCACCCACAACTTAACAGCCAGCCCAGCCCTGAAGGCCTGGCTTGCCTTCCTGTGGCTCCAGCCTCGATGAGGGAGCCTGTAGTGGGGCGCCTGGTTACGCCCCCTCATATATTTACACCTGGGACCACGGCCCTCCGTGCTACGCCTCTGATGTTCAGGGTCCGTCCTGCTGTGCTGCATCCTGGCAATGCGTTCCGTTCCATGAGCTTTTGCAAACTGTTTCCTCCAAGCTCCTGCGGTGAGGACGGGCCTCTGGCCAATGTGGAAACTGCAAATTACATTTGCAATTGAGCAGCGAGTGATTTCAAATTGGAATCGGCAGGTTCGCTGCTACCTGCTGACAGCAACCATCTTGACAAAAAGCAGCTGATCTGAGGCTCTGGCAGGTTCCTGTGCCTCCTTTGCTTATGCATATGGAGGGGCTCTGTCAGTTTGTGGAAGCAGTAAGCCATTTCCAGAGCATGGATTACATTTAACTCTCTGTGTGGTGTGTGTGTGTGTGTGTGTGCCTGCAATTTGCAGTGCACCAACACCCTTTTTTTCCAGAGGCTTTTGTGATGTATGCGAGAGCTGATCCACACATTTATTTACTTAGTTTTAAAGCAGTTATCTCCCGCTTTTCTGTGAGTTTTCCACCCGGCACCCCGGGGGCAGATGGCAGTAAGTAGTTTAAGAACACATTGCGTTGCAATAAAAACAACAACAAAATAGAAACCGGAGCCAATTAAAGAGCAAATAAATGATGGATTTCACAGAAGAACTGCTAAACAGATATTGTTGAAAGCTTGGGCATATCCAATGAGATGTTTTTAACCGTCATGGAAAAGATTGCAATGTAGAAGCATGATGGTTGGGACTGGGGAGCCTGTTCTGTTGATAGTCTGGGGGCCAGTGCCGAGAAGGCCCTGACCTCTGAAGACACCCGTCTCACCTTTGGAGGTGGAAGCATCTGAGTCTATCCTACAGTCAACTCAATGATGTGAGACACCATTTAATGTTGCGGTCATCACTTGATGCTGCAAGCAAATGAGATGCATCTGGGATAGTCCATGAAACACTTCTTTCAGTTGAAAATAGATGTTGGAGCTGATTTGGGGGTGCTATGGAAGTTCTGCTTATTGCTTTTCCTCTACGATAGGGAAAGAGATTTTGTATCCCTTTGATTCCCATTTCAATACAATCTCATGTCATCTGCACTTCCCAAGCCATTTATATGCACCAGGTGAAAACATTCCTCATCTCCCAGGCCTTTGGCAATCTATGACCTTTTAAATTTATGTATTTTTGCATTTTTATATTGTAAACTGCCCTGTGTTCCTCAGATAAAGGGTGGTATGGAAATGTTGTTGATGACGACAACAACAACAACAACAACAATATATGAACCAAAATGCAACTATCCTTCACACGTTTCTGAATTTTGCAATGCAGGCTCTCTACACATCATATATTTAAAGCACATCACTTTCCCCATAAAACCCCATGAACTGCAGTTTGTTAAGGGTCCTGGGAACTATAGTTCTGTGAAGGGTAAACTACAGCTCCCAGGATGCTTTAAATGTGCTTTACATGTATACTGCATATGAAGGCATGGTTCTCCAACCATAAAATGTGAATGAAAGTGCAAATATACAAGGAAAATGCACAAAATCTATTTATTTTATTTTTTTAATTTATTTATTTATTTATTTATTTGTTTATTATCACATACAGTTTGTATAACCACTCGAATGTAAAAAGAAAAAAGAAAAAAGAAAACCTCACAGTGGTTTACAAAATGAGTGGAATTAATTAGTGAAAAGTACACAGACATGCATTGTATTAGGGAACGCTGCTTGCAAAAATGTCTCCAGCAATGTGGATGTTAAGAGAAATGGGCACAAGAGCGAGTACAAATTTTCATGCAAGCTCTTAGAAAGCCATTCACAAACTGATGCAGAAATGGTGCAAGCTGGAATTAAGAAGGGAAGAATGAATCATTCAATTGTAGAGTTAGAGGGGACCACGAGGATCATCTAGTCCAGGCATGGCCAAACTTGGCCCTCCAGCTGTTTTGGGACTACAACTCCCATCATCGCTAGCTAACAGGACCAGTGGTCAGGGGTGATGGGAACTGTAGTCCCAAAACAGCTGGAGGACCAAGTTTGGCCATGCCCCAACCCTCTGCAATGCAGGGCTGTTGTTTTTTGCCCAATATGGGGCTCGAACCCACAACCCTGAGATTAAGAGTCTCATGCTCTACCAACTGAACTATTCCTCATGGGCAAACTCAACCAATCAGTTCATTTTTAGTCTCCGATAGCTGTTTCACATGGAGAAGCTATTGCTTGATGGTGCTGTTGCAGAGAGAATGGCATATATATGTGAAGTAGTGGGAGGTAGGGATTAACGTCCCCATATAGCTTTTTTGTTACAGTGGCACCTCAGGTTACATACGCTTCAAGTTACAGACTCCGCTAAGCACCAGAAATAGTGCTTCAGGTTAAGAACTTTGCTTCAGGATGAGAACAGATATCGTGCTCTGGCGGCGCGGCGGCAGCAGGAGGCCCCATTAGCTAAAGCGGTGCTTCAGGTTAAGTACAGTTTCAGGTTAAGAACGGACCTCTGGAATGAATTAAGTACTTAACCCGAGGTACCACTGTATTTCAAGAGAGGTGGACCCTAAGCTGGTTGCATTTCCAACTCAATGTCCCTCTCCCCCCCGCAGTCTAAGTGGGTGCTAGCAAAGTCACTTAAATAACACAAATGGTGTCCAGAAAGAAAACTCCTGACACCACTTAACTGAAGAAACTTGAGGAGAAAGGAACAGAGACGTTTTTGTCACTCTCTGGTCGGGCCTTGTACGTAGCAGGGAGACATTCAACCAAACATACAGAGGAAAACTCATTCAAAGCTACGCGCTCAATCAGAGAAGGTGCTGGTTCAGTGAGGATCTTGCAACGCTGCCTGGTTCCCATCTCCCTTTTGGCTAGTTGACCTGAACATGAAGAGAAATAACCCTTAAGTTACAAATGGAAATATCCCTGTCATTGCACTTTGAACAGCTGGATCCTTTGAAGAGGCAATCTTTGTCCTTGATTCTTTAAGCCTGGGGTGAGGGACCTTTTTTGGTCTGAGGACTGCATCCCAGAGTGGTTCAGCAATCAATTCCTTCTCCCAGGTAGGGGAATAGGGGTTTCCTAAGAACTCTCAACTCCCTTAACAAACTACAGGTCCCAGAATTATTTTGCAGGAAGCCATGGCTGCTTATTGTTGAATGATGTGACTTTAAACGTATAGTTCAGAATGAATCTATAATCTTACCTTCAGCTGAGTCTGATAGAGGTTAGGAAGAGGGAGTTGATATGATGGGATTGATATAAACAAATTGCACCATTCACATTCTAACTTGTTTATTTCCAACATATTCCAAGTTTGCTGGTGAAATTTTCCTCTTAAAGGCTCATACTTGATGACTAATTGCTTTTGCTCATTACCTTTCTCTCCCTCCCAAACACCAAGTTCATCTAGAACGGGGAGCGTTGAAAAGGAATTGAGCGAGGAGGAGACTAGTACATTTGATTGCTTGTTTCCCAAGCAATTTGGAACAATCAGAATTTCTTCACCATTTCCCCCTTTTAAATGTGTTTCAGGTGAAGCAGTCAGCGGCCTCTGTAAATACTGTATTTTTTGCTCTATAAGACTCACTTTTTCCCTCCTAAAAAGTAAGGGGAAATGTGTTTGCGTCTTATGGAGCGAATGCAGGCTGCGCAGCTATCCCAGAAGCCAGAACAGCAAGAGGGATTGCTGCTTTCACTGCGCAGCGATCCCTCTTGCTGTTCTGGCTTCTGAGATTCAGAATATTTTTTTCTTGTTTTCCTCCTCCAAAAACTAGGTGCGTCTTATGGTCTGGTGCGTCTTATAGAGCGAAAAATACGGTAAATAAGGGACCTCACCGAATACCCTCACACTTGCCCCTCTTTCAAAGTTATTAGCCTCTGGGGACATGGGCTGGGGAGGGCTGCATTGATAGGAGTGGGGTCACATGCCTCCATGCAGAGCTACACATGATGTTTGCAAAAGAATTATGCAACGGCAGCGGTTGGGAACATTTGGCATTATAGCAAGGAATCGAAAGCAGCCAGAGAGCAGAGAGATGGATATGATGGGACTCTCGTTTCCATCTCCCTACCCTGCTCCACAGGGAAAGCACCATAGCTCAGTGTCCGAACATCTGCTTTGTGTCTAGAAGGTCTCGTTTTCATTCCCCAGCACCCCCCTGCCTGAGCCCCTGGAAAGCTGCAGCCAGACAAGACAGACTTAGATGGACTGATGGTCTGATCTGATAATAATAATAATAAATTTTTATTTATACCCCGCCCTTCCCGGTTCAAAAACCGGGCTCAGGGCGGCTAACAACAAATTTAAAACACTTAATTAATGCAACAAAAAACAGCATAAAATACAATATAAAATGTGAATAACAATAAATTCAGAATTCAAAAATCAATTCGGGGGGAAACCCATCCAATAAACATTAGATGATCACCAGGGCTAGCTGGCTAAATTAGTCCTATTTGGGCCAGCGTGGGGACCAGGGGAGAATTAGCTGTAGGATCCCAGAGTGGGTAATCTTCATAAAAAGGGGAGGGGGAGGGAAGGAAGGGGAATAAAAGATCAGGCTAAGTTCAAGTTGAAAGCCAGGCGGAATAGCTCTATCTTACAGGCCCTGCGGAAGGAAGTTAAATCCTGCAGATAGAAGGAAGGCACCTGTGTTCTTGCGTTCTGGGTGTTCCGGCTGGGTGCAAAGGTTTTTCTCTCGCATTTCAACAGGAATGCTGTTCCACAGAACGGGGGCAGCCACGCTACAAACCCTGCTCTGAGTTACTGCAGAAAGAGACTTCCAAGATCTTTGGAACTGGCAGGGGAAACTCTTGCACAGACCGCAGCGATCTACAGGGTGTACAAGGGATAAGGCAGATAGAGAGGTAGGTTTGCCCTACAAAATCAAAGGAGGCTTCCCAATGAGAGGGAGTTGAGGTTCCTTAACAGCAACAACAGTTTTATTATTTATACCCTGTCCACCTGACTGTGTTACCCTAGCCACTCTGGGCAGCTTAGAATGAAATTACAGCAAACGCTAAACATTAAAAACTTGCCTGCCTTCAGATGTCTTTGGAAAGTTCTGTACAGTGGTACCTCGGGTTAAGTACTTAATTTGTTCCGAAGGTCCGTTCTTAACCTGAAACTGTTCTTAACCTGAAGCACCACTTTAGCTAATGGGGCCTCCTGCTGCCGCCACACTGCCAGAGCACAATTTCTGTTCTCATCCTGAAGCAAAGTTCTTAACCCAAGGTACTATTTCTGAGTTAGCGGAGTCTGTAGCCTGAAGCATATGTAACCTGAAGTATATGTAACCCAAGGTACCACTGTAGTTGTTTATCTCCTTGACATCTGACGGGAGGGCATTCCACAGGGAAGGTGCCGCTACCGAGGAGGCCCTCTGCCTGGTTCCCTGTAGCTTCACTTCACTCAGTGAGGGAACCACCAGAAGGCCCTCGGAACTGGACCTCAGTGTCTGGGCAGAACGATGGGGGTGGAGGCGCTCCTTCGTGTATACATAGGGATGGGAAGCCTGTGGCCCTCCAGAGGTTGTTGGACTACAAGTCCCATAATCCCTGACTATTGGCCACAGCATCCCAGGGACCACAAGTTGCCCACCCCATAGTGCTTTGCCCATCCTGCCCAATCTTAAAGAGGATTTGGATGGATCCTGTTTTACAAAAGCCACATCCACTCACCAAGGGGGAAAGACATAGTGCAGTGACCTCTTCTTTTCATGCAGGTGGCCCCAGATTCAATACCTGACACCTCCAGGTAGAACCAGGGGAGACCCCTGTGCAAAATCCTAGAGCAGCCTTTCTCAACCTTGGGTTGCCAGATGCTGGACTACAACTCCCATCACCCCTAGCTGGCAGAACTAGGGACCAGGGATGATGGGAGTTGTAGTTCAACAACATTTGGGGGCCCAAGGTTGAGAAAGGCTGTTCTAGAGAGTTGCTGTCAGTCTGTGTAGAAAATACTGAACTAGCTGGACCCGAGGTCTGACTCAGTAAAAGACAGCTTCCGCTCTGTTCCTAATAAGGCTGGATTTAGCTCCTGGCTATGTGCACAGCCAGAGAGATCTTTAGGGATCCGACGCAGGTTTTCGATGTCATGTGATACCACTGTGGAGGAGTAGGGAAGAAATACTCCTGATTATTGCAAGAGGAACAATAACATCAAAAAGGGAGCCCTAGGCAGAGTCGTATTCTCTCAGCTGCAAGCCTTGCCTTGAGCTGCTTTTAAGGGTAACTCAAACAACGAAGTGTTTCCAACACTGAATATGCTGCCGTAATTATTACTACTCATAATGTAAGGTACTGGGGGAAAGAGTTAAATCAAAATAAGAACCTTATATGAGCTGTTTTGCTGAGCAATGTGCACCCAAAATGGGTTTTGTTCTTCAACTGGGGGCAGGTTTACTATGATAGTGTTGTTCACTACCATGTCAATGGCCTTCCAGATGTTGATGGACTCCCAACTGTTGACAGCCCCAGCCAGCATGGCCAAGGGTCAGGAATATATGGAGCTGTAGTTCTGCTAGCATTTAATGTTTGATGCATTACTGTATTTTAATATTTAGTTGGAAGCCGCTCAGAGTGGCAGCCAGATGGGCGGGGTATAAATAATAAATTATTATTATTATTATTATTATTATTATTATTATTATTAATTATTATTATTTGGATATCCACAGGTCTTCTACCCCGAGCTATGTGCAAAATAGTATGTAATTTTATCTCCTTTTGTTTTGGATTACAAGTCCCATCATCCCTGATGATTACCCATGCTGGCTAGAAGTTTTAGTCCATAATATCTGGAGGGCACGATGTTCATTATCCCTGGTGTAAAGTTACTCTCTTAAACCGGGGAAAACGTTATTGGATCGTGGGCTGCATTTCCATCTTAGCAACCTTACAGGGGCCGCATGCTGGCGGTGGGTGGGGCAAGAGGCAAAAGTGGGCGGGGTCACAAATATGAATGAGGCAACAAGAAGGCTTTGTTAGTGATGGATTAGCATAGAGCGAGTTGGGAAAGGAAACGAAAATAAGCAGAAGCTGGGTACTTCTTCTCTTTTCTTTGATGGGGTCCTTTCTTCACACTAGTGGTTTAAATGGTGACACTTCAGTGCAAGATGGTTTGCATGTCTAAGTGGAAGCTAAAGGTTATATTCCAGCTGGCTGAAGAGCTTTTGTTAAAGCCAAGTGTGTTCTCTAAGTTGCCTCTGTGTGACCAGGAGTAAGCCCCACAGAGTTCAAAGGAGCTTACGTCTAGGAAACTATGCATCGGCTTATTAAAATCCTAGTATACTGTGTGTTGAAATATGTACCTGCTCTTTGATGGCAGTGTACGTGTGTAGTTATGCATATTGCAGTGACTAACAAAACAGAAATGTTAAATTCTTAAAGCAAAATATTTTGGCTTCTGCTTTCATCAGTTGCTCTCATAAAAATTATGCCGTTTCCAAGGAGGCTGTTATAGAGCTTTGAGAATGGACTGCTCAAAAGGCCTTTGAAGCCACTGAAGCTAAGAGATGCTGATACTCTACTCTAGCTTGAAACCCTGCAGTCTTGATATGCTCAGATTTTACATCCAGAAGTTCTTCCTTTCTCCTAACATTGTTGGATCTGTCTGCATCTCTATAGCAATTATCGATAACAGGCTGTGGTTCTCAGAATTAAAATGTTTAGCAACAGGATGCTCTGCTTTTCTTTTCTTTTTTGTCAAAACTGATGATTTGTGGTTTCTAAAATGTGTTCGCAGGTTGATTTTGCGATGCAATTTCCCCCCAGAGAAATAGCTTTTTTTCCAGGGCCTCAGTCTCACTTTTTGGGCTCTGGGCCTGAAAAAAAGCAAGTTTCTGTCGCAAAATCGTGCAAGATTGCATCACCCAAAATGGCCGCTTTCCTCTTATGAGAGAAAAAGGGACGATGGTGTCCCAGAAGATGGTCTCCCAGTTTTTCCCTTTGAAATGTTGGGAGGGGGTCTAAGAGAGGGGTTAGTGAGCATGTGCAGAAACCAGCCTTCTGCACAATGGTAAAATTCGCACTCGTCGCTCCGCCCACCTTCACACCTGACCACGCCCAGAACTGGGACATGGCCCTTCGAGGGTAATCCAGAAAGGATCACGGACTTCAGGCCGAAAAGTGTTTCCCGTCCCTGTGTTGAGTGATCAGTAATTTCCCCCTCTGTGTCCCTTTGTGGGATCTGCAATTGCAAGTTTCCGCTGCGATCATTACACCCTTTGCACATGTGATCTCAGCCTCCTGCTACCCCGGCCCCTCAGAAAGCTCCCAGAGCCGCTGGACACTGTTTGCCAAAAAGAGCTGGGGGGGCTTTGCCAGGAAGCCACTGAACCTGCAGCTTGCCCAGCTCCCAAGCAAGCACTGGCCTAAAGCAGAGAGCGATTTCTGTTGTTTTCTGCAGAAGGTCCCCAAGGGCAGTGAATTAGGAAGGATTAATTGAACGGGTAGCCTGATGATCCCTCCAGGAGGGAAGAACAGCCACATAGTTACATAATCTCTCCCCCTCCCCACCTCCCTGCTTTAAGTAATAAACTCATCAGATAAAGCAGCTCTAGTTTGTTGGAGGTCACTAATTCCTCCCTCCCTTTCCCTTTGTAACTGTTGCTTTGCCCAAACTCTTTGGAAAGAGTGTTGCCTTGATGCACATCAAAGGGAAGCAGACCGTTGCTCTTCCTAAATGTATTTCTTCCTCGAGATAGGTGGGTTTTTATAAAGGGATCTTGGCACTTTTTTTATTTGAACCAAAAACCACCTCAGGATATTTGGGAGGTGGGAAAGCCGGTGGATATTTTCCAATCAGCACAATAGCGCAGGGAGGGAAATGTGATTAGGTTGGTTCACATCAGAATTCAAAGTATCAAATCCAGCCTCAAGCTGGATTCTCTACAAATAGGTAAATCTGCATCATCATCATCAGTGTTATTTTTCTAGAAAAAGAGGTGTCGGAACAGACCATGAAGGTCTCTCTTATTCTCTTATAATGGCACCCACCTGGAGGTTCCGGCTGGGGGGAAAAAGCCCTAATCATTATCGTTATCCATCGTTAATCAGTCGCTTTATGCAATAAAAAGCCTCAAAATGACTTGACGGGGTAAAACACAAAACACAAATGTAATTAAAAACTGGAGGGGGGGGAATGGAACAATGAACATTACAAAATACATCAAAAGCTCATCCAGCGACATTTTAACCACCTAAGAGGTTTTATTACAGTCAAGTGGTATGCAAATGATGTGAAATAAATAAAGATAAACACCACCTCAAAAATCATCACCGAACAAGAGGCTGTTTGCTGTCCCTGCTCAGTACCTTGTACTGCCTTGGCCTCTCCTACCTCAAACACACTCAGACATGCCCACATTGAATTGATTCTAGCATTGGACCCCACATTCACTCTTCCATTCTGAACAGAGGAAAAGTACAAATATATATTCTCTTATTATTTTTAATAACAGCTCAGGGGCGCCTGTTGTAGATGTTGTTTTCCTCCACTGATGGGGTGCGAAATGGTGGGGTGGGGAGCAAGCCCACACCATTTTGTGATTCTGTACCCTTATATGCTCATTTAGATAAGTCAGCCATTTTGTGCTATGCCACACACACCCATTGGCCGCCATTTTGTTTTTCCTTTTATTTATTCTTTATAAATTATATTCATAAAACTGCCCGCTGGTATAAAACACATCAAGGTGGCGTACAGCAATATATGCAAATACGATGGGACATAAAATACCGTTAAAACAATGCAAAATAATCGTGAATATGTCTGGCTCATCTTAGGAAAATTTAAACAACTGGATAGAATTGTCGGCATAAAAAGGACTTCAAGAAATACCTGAAAATTAGCAATTGCCAAATCTCAGTTGGGTGTGTGTTGCACACCATGGGACCAATGACACCAAACACTTGACTACTAGCTGAAGCCAGTCAGGCTTCTGAAACACAGGGACAATTCACAGCCCTCCTCTAGATGATTGGGTGTGTTTAGCCTGGGAAAGAGGAGGCTGAGAGGAGATGATAGCCATCTTCAAATATCTGAAGGGCTGTCACACAGAAGATGGAGCCAGCTTGTTTTCTCTGGCTCTGGAGGGTAGGACTCGACCCAGTGGATTCAAGTTGCAAGAAAGGAAATTCTGACTAAGTTATCAGGAAAAGCTTTCTGACAGGAAGAGCTGTTTGACAGTGGAACAGATTCCATCAGGAGGTGGTGGACTCTCCTTCCTTGTAGGTTTTTAAGCAGAGGTTAGATGGCCATCTGTCAGGGATGCTTTAGCTGAGATTTCTTCATTGCAGGGGATTCTATGACTGCAGTGATCTCGCTGGAATATAAGAGCTTGTGTGGTCTTTAAGATATCCTGGACCCAAGTTCTTTAGGGCTTTGTATATTAGTACAAGAACCTCCGACTAGGCCCTGTAGCATATGGGCAGCAGTGCAGCTGTTTTGCCAGAGATATCACATAACATGCCTCACAACATTTCTCCAGTGAAAATAGGTATGTCCCATTCCTTAATGATAATTTTACTATTGATACCCCACACATCTTACTAGGTTGCCCCAACCACTCGGCAGCTTCCAACGTATAGAAAAACATAATAAAACAATAAACAATAAAAAACTTCCCTATACAGGATTGTCTTCAGGCGGCTCATGGGTCTGATAACTCCATACCCTCCAACATTTCTCCAGTGAAAATAGGGACGTCCTAAGGAAAAGTGGGATGTTCTGGGATCAAATCAGAAACCGGGACTGCTTCTCTAAGTCAGGGACTTCCCTGGATAATAGGGACACTTGGCAGGTCCACACCTGCAGTTCTTTTTTGCCGCATTCTGCTCTAGAAGGAGCTTCTAGGCCAGCCCCACATAGAGCCCATTGCGGTAGTCCATTCTCAAGATTATCAATGCATGGGGCTACAGTGGCTGGTTTAATCTGATCCAAATACAGCTCATAGAATCATAGAATCATAGAGTTGGAAGAGACCACAAGGGCCATCGAGTCCAACCCCCTGCCAAGCAGGAAACACCATCGGAGCACTCCTGACATATGGTTGTCAAGCCTCTGCTTAAAGACCTCCAAAGAAGGAGACTCCACCACACTCCTTGGCAGCAAATTCCACTGTCGAACAGCTCTTACTGTCAGGAAGTTCTTCCTAATGTTTAGGTGGAATCTTCTTTCTTGTAGTTTGGATCCATTGCTCCATGTCCGCTTCTCTGGAGCAGCAGAAAACAACCTTTCTCCCTCCTCTATGTGACATCCTTTTATATATTTGAACATGGCTATCATATCACCCCTTAACCTCCTCTTCTCCAGGCTAAACATGCCCAGCTCCCTTAGCCATTCCTCATAAGGCATTGTTTCCAGGCCTTTGACCATTTTGGTTGCCCTCCTCTGGACACGTTCCAGTTTGTCAGTGTCCTTCTTGAACTGTGGTGCCCAGAACTGGACACAGTACTCCAGGTGAGGTCTGACCAGAGCAGAATACAGTGGCACTATTACTTCCCTTGATCTAGATGCTATACTCCTAACCAGCTGTTGCTGGTTTCTCAGGCAAGGCTGCTAAAAGGCACTCCTGATTAGCTCCCACTGCATGTCCCTCAAAATCCCAAAGGAACCCGCTGGCTCAAAAAGTTTGGTGACTCCAGATATATGTGCTTTGATTTGCAGAAACAATTTAAAAAAATTAACTGTGTCAGCCAAAACCACAAAACATTGAAAACAGGTATTCTAAAGCCCTTGGACCCATGCTGGGAACTAATTGAAATCAACACTGGGCAGGTAATTGGTTATTTATGCTTGTTCTGGTAACAGGTGAGAGAAGGGAGGATAAATTCCCTGCCCAGTTTTGAGTTGTCCACCCAATGAGAGGCGTTATGGGAAAGGACTGTCGGCTCAGTGGGAGATCATCTTCTTTGCATGCCGACGACCTCAGGTTCTATTCTTGGCACCTCCAGGTACAGCTAGTAATGTTACCTGTCTGAAACCCCAGGGAGGGGGGACTGCTGTTCATCAGTGTGGGACAATACAGAGCAAAATAGGCCAATGGTCTTAACACAGCCTACTATGTCTCTATCCAGACCCTTCCCTTGTTATGAATTTCATAACACCGACAGAACCACCGACAGCAGATGAAAGGAAATTGACAAGAGGCTGTATTTAAAGAGATTACGGGGTCTTCTAGGGATAAGCTAGAAATTCAATTAAAGCTCCTCTTGCGCTTTCTCTTTTTCCTGGCCAAACCAGCTGCAGGGAACCAAATCCAAGAATCAAGGAGACCTTTAAGCATCTTCCAGGTGCGTTCTGGTCCCATTCTTAAAGGGCCAATCAGCGAATTCTGTAGGGAATTCATGTAAGCCGCACAGGATTGTTCTAACACAACAGGAGCCTGTCTTCTAATGCCTACGTAGTTCGTAGCAAATCTGACAGGAGTGTGAGATTATGTGTTTCGTTCTGGGTTGGGAGGAACACAGGAAGCTGACTGAAGCCAAATTCCTCCGTCTAGCACAGTCATGTTGGCACTGACTGCCAGAGGCCCTCCAAGGTTTCATTTGGGGGACATTCCCAGCCCTGCCTGCTGAGGATTAAAGATGCCACCTTCTGCATGCAAAGCAGATGTTTAATCACTGAGCCACACCCCTTCCTCAGGACCCACATGCCTGCTGAGATAATTCAGAAAGTTTCCAGGTGTGTTAGTGGTTCAGAGGGCAGTCTGCAGGTACAGAGCACAGCTCTTCAGCTGAAGTTAAGCAGGTTCTAGCTTAGTTAGCTGCCTTGATTGGAGGCTGAACAGGAACCAGACGGAAGCTGCTCTGAGCTGTTTGGAGAACAAGTGATCACAACTACATACAAATATGGGAGCAAAGGGTGCTGTTAGCACCTCAGTCCATCTAGGTCATTACTGTCTACACTGATTGACAGCAGTGCTTCAGGTAATAATAATAATGATAATAATTTATTATTTGTACCCCGCCCATCTGGCTGGGTTTCCCCAGCCACTCTGGGCAGCTTCAAACAAGGACAAAAAATACACTAAAATGTCACACATTAAAAACTTCCCTGAGCAGGACTGCCTTCAGATGTCTTCTGAAAGTCAGGTAGTTGTTTATATCTTTGACATCTGCTGGGAGGGCATTCCACAGGGCGGGCGCCACTACCGAGAAGGCCCTCTGCCTGGTTCCCTGTAGTTTTGCTTCTTGCAATGAGGGAACCGCCAGAAGGGCCTCGGCTTGTTGTCAGACAGCGGACTTTGCTATCCCATTCTGGAAATGTCGGGGTTTGAAGAGTTGGCAGTTTAGCTGGGAAGACATTTGGTGCTTCACCGGATGAGCTGGGGGTGGAGAGCATGGGATCGGCCAAGGAAATCATGCAGATCATTGGTAAAGCATGTGTTTTGCATGCCCAAGACTCCAAGTTCAGCCCCTGACATTCCCAGGGAGGGCTGTTCAAAACCCAGAAGAGTCACTGCCAGAAGGGCCGTCTTAAGTATATCCAGCACCGTGGTGCAAAGATCCCTCCGGCGCCGCCCGTCCCCGTTTTGCAGAGTTGCCGACCTTTTTATGGCACTGCCGGCAGCTTTGCAGGGCTGGAGGAGGGGGGCAGCGGCTGGAGGGCAGCTCCTCCGGTGGGGAAGAGGCAGAGGCTCAGGGCACGGTGCTGCTTCAGCGAGGTGGGCGAGGGCAGTGTGCTGATGCCGGGAGGTGCTGTGCCCAGTGTCTGCCTCTTCCCTGGCACCTGTGCCACGATGGCCATGGCAGGCTGAGGCTCTGGGTGCAGTGCTGCTTCGGTGTGGCATGGCTGAGGCGGGCGAGGACAGTGAGCTGGTGCCAGGAGGCGCTGCATCCAGCCTCCGCCTCTTCCCTGGCACCCTCCAGAACTTGGCACCCTGGCGCCCAGCGCCACTTGCCTCTATGGGCAAGACGCCCCTGACTGCCAGTCAGTGAAGACTGGGTTTAACCAACATGGCAACCTCCAGATGACTCTGGAGGCTGCACTTCCCATCATCCCTGACCATCAGCCATGCTGGCTGGGGCTGATGGGAGCTGTAGTCTAACAACGTCTGGAGGAAATCACATTGGCTACCCCCGTAAGCAGACAATACTCGGCTAGATGGACTCATGCTCAGACTCGATATCTGACATGTCCTTCTGTCCCTGAGATCCTTTGTTTGCTCCGTGAACTGATTTGGCCTTCCGGTTTCTGCAGTGCTCAGCGAGTGGTATGAGGCTGGTCTCGCCAGCTGACATAGAGCCCCTCAACGTGACCACAAGAGTGTTTTCGTTACATCTCTTCCCCCTGGCCATGGCAATCGACTCTATTGACCAGTCTAGCTGTGAGATTCAAAGCAACAACACACCCAGATCAGGAAGCTCGCAGGCATGTCGTCAACATTGTGGCTCCAAGGTGCATTTTGCAAATGCGGTTGTTCGATGGGCCTCGCCTTGTCACGAAAACGACCACTTATTCTGTTCCCTGCTCTGTTGTGCTCTTGCGAATTCCATGTATATCCTCCCCTCCACTCTCCATTATGCTTCCTTGACACTCCCAGCTAGATGCAAAATGAGAACACAAATTTCATAATGAAAAAAAGCAAAGAAACCAATAACCCCGCCTCCCACAAACACATTTAAAAGGCCACAGATTCTTCAACACTTCAGAAACCATCCTTATTTTTATTATTATTATAGGGGATGAAACGCACCTTCAATGGAACAAATGCACACTCAGTGCTTCTAAAGTTTTTAAAAAGCGGTCAGTCGTCCTGAAATAGTAGTCAATTTGCACAGTTTATACTACTTCTAATGTTTCACCATCCATTTCATCTATCTGAATGCTTTGGGAGTGTCTGACGCGGTAGCACTGTTGAAGCTAAGTACCAACGACTGTTATTTGAAGGAATGCCCATGAGGGCTAGTATCTTGATTCCCCAGCCCAGAGTGGCTGAGGAAACCCAGCCAGATGGGCAGAGTATATATAATAAAATTATTATAAACAATAATAATTATTTCTTTTCTAATTGATGAAAGCTGAGATTCTGGGGATGCATAATTCTGCACTCGGTTTCAAAATGTTGAGCTGTAAACAGTGCTAGTCCTACTCAGAGTAGGCCTTCTGAAGATAACAGGCGTGGCTACCTTAGGTTAATTCATGTCTGTGTAGACCAGGGGTCAGCAAACGTTTTCAGCAGGGGGCTGGTCCACTGTCCCTCAGACCTTGTGGGGGGCTGGACTATATTTTGAAAAAAAAAATGAATGAATTCCTATGCCCCGCAAATAACCCAGAGATGCATTTTAAATAAAAGGACACATTCTACTCATGTAAAAACACGCTGATTCCTGGGGCATCCGCAGGCAGGATTTAGAAGGCGATTGGGCCAGATCCAGCCCCCGGGCCTTAGTTTGCCTACCCATAGTGTAGACCTAAGCTGGAGACAACCCTACCTGCTTTTCCTGCACATGGACAAAAGCAGAGAGAAACTTGAACCTTGTTAAGTTTGAAATATGATTTTCTTTTATCTACCTTACCTTTCAAGCAAATTCCTGGAGCGGCTATCACAACTTCTCGTTTCTGAGAGATAACCCATGTGTCTTTGTTTTCTCATTGCAGAACCTCCACTTAGATCTATCTGTCTGCAGCACTTCAAAATCTAAGGGCTCCTTCCTCTCTTCCATAGGGTCAAGACTGGGAGGGAGCTGAGGGCAACGCCCCCCAAAGAGTCCAGAGACCCTTCCGCCCCACTGCTGCTCGACTCAGGGATGAGTGCAGGTAGAGTTAACCCTTACAGCATCGTATCTTCTGAGGAAGACGGGTTGACTTTAACCACCATGCCGGGAGTGAATGGCTTTGGCAACGGTAAGATCCACACAAGGAGGAAATGTCGGAACCGGTTTGTTAAGAAGAACGGACAATGCAACGTTGAGTTTACCAACATGGATGACAAACCACAGAGGTACATTGCGGACATGTTCACTACGTGTGTGGACATCCGCTGGAGATATATGCTGCTGCTCTTCTCCCTTGCCTTTCTGGTGTCCTGGTTGTTGTTTGGTCTTATTTTTTGGCTCATAGCGCTTGTCCACGGAGATATCGAGAAGCCAGTCAAGGACGAAACCTTCACCCCTTGCCTCCTCCAAGTGAATGGCTTTGTGGCTGCTTTCCTGTTCTCCATTGAGACACAGACCACGATAGGCTATGGGTTCCGGTGCGTCACGGAGGAGTGCCCGCTTGCTGTTTTCATGGTGGTCCTCCAGTCCATCGTGGGGTGTATCATAGACTCTTTCATGATTGGCGCCATCATGGCAAAAATGGCTAGGCCCAAGAAGAGGGCCGAAACCTTACTCTTCAGCCATCATGCGGTCATAGCCATGAGGGACGGCAAGCTTTGCCTGATGTGGAGAGTGGGGAACCTGCGGAAAAGTCACATTGTTGAGGCTCATGTCAGAGCTCAGCTAATAAAGTCCAGGATCACCGAAGAGGGGGAATACATCCCACTTGACCAAATAGATATCGACGTCGGGTTCGACAAAGGCTTGGACCGTATTTTCTTAGTGTCTCCGCTCACCATCCTCCACGAGATCAACGAAGAGAGCCCTCTGTTTGGGATTAGCCGGCAGGATCTGGAAACGGACGACTTTGAAATCGTGGTTATCCTTGAGGGCATGGTGGAAGCTACCGCCATGACGACACAAGCCCGGAGCTCCTACTTGTCCAGCGAGATCTTGTGGGGCCACCGCTTTGAGCCCGTCTTGTTTGAGGAGAAATGCCAGTACAAAGTTGACTACTCGCACTTCCACAAGACGTATGAGGTCCCGTCGACCCCTTGCTGCAGTGCCAAGGACCTGATGGAAAACAAATTCCTCCTCCCCAGCACCAACTCTTTCTGCTACGAGAACGAGCTTGCCTTCATGAGCCGCGATGAGGAGGAAGAGGAGGAGGAGGAGGAGGATGACGACAGCAGAGGTTTGGACGACCCAGGCTCAGACAACCAGCCTGAATTTGAGACGCTGCAGGCCACCGTAGCTCTGGATCAAAGATCCTACAGAAGGGAGTCGGAAATATGACCCAGGGCCCCTGTAACTGCTTTTGAGGGTCTCTCTCCCCCTGCCCCGGTCTCTTTCCCTCCTCAACGAAACCCAATTCAAATTATGCAGAACAATGCAAGTGCCATAGGAATGCCTGAGAGCTAGAATGGTTTTTAGGGTGTTGTTTTTGTTGTGTGTTTTTTTAAAAACAAAAAAACCCCAAGGTTTAATCGCAATAACCACTGAATGGCATGGTCTGAGAAACCCTAGGCAGCCTCAAAGTGTTGTGAACATCCAGTGTTAACAAAGCTGTTAAGAGAACATATGGAAAGGCAGATTCAATATGGTGGCACCACAAGCTTAGAAACCCAACCATTGTGAGTTTGAGGCTCTGTGCAAGCAGGAGTATCATCGGATCCAGAGTGATATGATCGAAGGCTCATCCCTCTTGTCCTACAACATTATCCCAGGGACAGCAGTTCTTTAGCAATCAGTTGGAGCAGACGGCAATTCAGGTTTTCTCCTGATTGCTGTTTGCTGTGGTTTAAAGTTAAAGAGTGAGCTTTCCCTGGGAAAGGTGTGGGGCAAGGGGGAAACTGCACAGACCCATGCCTGGGAAGCGTGGGTCAAGCAGAAAACTGCTTGGACCCGTGCTTTCTAAGCACAGGACAAGTGGAAATGTGGGCAAGCTCCTTGTCTCTATGTTCCCTGTTGAAAATGAGGGTATTTTTATTTTTAAAAGCTAAGCACTATACAATTTCAAAAGGAGAAAATATCAGGTAGCAAAATCATGTTGTTGTTTTTCAAAATATGAATGAACAAATTATATTATATTTAATATATGTAATATATACATGTACTGCCTGGAGATGTAATTCTGTTGCACTAGATCAGTACTTGAAGTCCTACAGCTCATAGTACACTTTTATTGTTGAGGGGAAAGCAAGGGAGGTTATTTTTAATCTTTTTGTTTGACTTCCCACATGCAAAACTATTTACCAAGAAACATTATTTTTCAAACAATAAAAGCGATTGCTTTTTAGAAGGGAATGAAGTCCAAAGTCGACAAAAGCAACAAAGCTCTTTTGTCTCTCTCTCTCTTTCTTTCTTAAAAACAAAACAAAACACATTTTCATTTAGGAAAAGCTTTCAGTTTTCTTGCCTGGTGTCCTCAAAAGTGGAGGGAGAAAATCCACACATAAAAAATTGTAGAGAAGGACTAGACGTTACAGATTCAACATGGGAGCCCCAACCCTGTGGTTTATTTATCCTGTGTTGGTAATGCAGGGCAAGGGGAGATAGGTGCAGGGAGGAATCAAGAGGAATCAGGGAGAAGCATTTAACCCTTCCTCCAGCCGCTCATCTCAAATGACCCAACCCTCTCCCTCCCGTCCCCCCCTCCTCAGACAGGCCCTGAGACTGAAAGTAGGGCCAGGCGTAGGACAACCACTCTCAGAGGGTCCTTTGGAAAGATCACAGGGGCACAGGAAGGATTAGACACTGTCCCCTCACCTACCAATTTCCTCCTATGGAAGGCATCGGGAAACTGTGGCCCTCCAGAGAAGTTGCCGTAATAATAATAATAATAATAATAATAATAAATAATGTATTATTTATACCTCGCCCATCAGGCTGGGCCTCCCCAGCCACTCTGGACAGCTCCCAATAGAATATTGAAAACACAATAAAACATCAATAGCACTCACAACATCCCTTGACCATTGGCCATACTGGCTGGGGCTGACGGGGACTGCAGTCCAAATCCCCCATTCACATTATCATAGGAAATGTGGATGTGCAGAGTTAAAACGAGGTGCCACGCAGACTAAGGTCACATCCACAACATACATCTCAAGCACTCTTAGGCCACTTTGAACAATTCTGGCTTCCCCCAAAGAAACCTGGGAACTGTAGTTTGTTATGGCTGCTGGGAATTGTAGCTTGGCGAGGGGCCTCTGGACAACTCTAAGCACCCTTAGCAACCCACTGTACTCTGGATTCTTTGGGGGGAACCATGGCTGGGTTAAGGCGGCATGAGAGTGCTTGAATTGTGTGCAGATGTAGTTTATGTCTGTATTTATTTGGGGGTGTTATGCCGCCTTACAGATCAAGGAGGTAAGAGCAGTGGACTCGTAATCTGGTGAACCGGGTTCGCGTCTCCGCTCCTCCACATGCAGCTGCTGGGTGACCTTGGGCCGGTCACACTTCTCTGAAGTCTCAGCCCCACTCACCTCACAGAGTGTTTGTTGTGGGGGAGGAAGGGAAAAGGAGAATGTTAGCCGCTTTGAGACTCCTTCGGGTAGTGATAAAGCGGGATATCAAATCCAAACTCTTCTTCTCAAACTCACAGTGAACATGAAGGGAAGGGCAAACAGTTTTTTAAAATATTAAGCCATTATGAAAAAATACATTACATTTGGGGAAATTGCTTTGTATAAGTGTCTATACATATTTATTAGGAGAATATGTATTAGGAGAATATAATATATATATACTGATATATTAGGGGAAAGTCACCATAAAATGCTGGTGAACCTTCATGAGGACCTTAATTTTTTTTTTTTAAATTAAAAAAATAATGTGGAAATGTGGAGAACTGAACTTAAGAATGGAAAAATGAGAAACTGAGAAGAACCAAAACTAATGACTTGCCCATCCTTTGTCCTTGACCATTGTTCATTTTCTTGAGGCTGATAGGAGCTGTGGTCCAACAAAACCTGGAATCCCATAGATTCCCTCCCTGTGCATAAAAGTGAAGGAAATTAACACTCATTTAGCAAATTCAGTAATTTTTTGTTTCTCCTTACATTTATCTTGGGATGTGGGAGTGTGAGTGTCTATGGTGCAATTTCGATTTTCTGCTTTCAGGTACCACACAATGTCCTGTTGGACCCCCTCTGCAATGCCCTCCCTTAGAACATCCTCTGCCACAGAAAGATGCTCTGATTTATTTGTTTGTTAACCACAGCAGAGGATGACGAAATAGAACCAGATTACTTCTCCTGACTCCTCCAACTTCCTAGGCTCCAAAGGGGCTGTGCCTTAAAAGAGAGGAAGAGATGCAATTGTTTTCTGTTCCCAAAGCATGCTTCTTGGGCCTTGCACCAAAAGCCATACTGCGTAAATCTCTTCCTTTCTTCTCCCCCTCTGCCGTATCTTCTTGCTACTTCCGAGTAACACTCTGTTCTTCTCGCCTAGTCGCAGTAGGTGTCCCTTGACCAGCCATCTGGAGGAAGGCGTGTGACCGACCCACAGAGCGGATCATAAGCAATAAATGCAGTTCGCACGGCACACATTCCAAGCAAATATCGATCTCCCAAGTCCCCAACGTTATCTGTTATTGCAACGGATGAGAGAGAGAGAGAGAGAGAGAGAGAGAGAGAGAGGAGAAACAGAAACAGAGAGAGAGTCTCACCCTGGCTGAATTTGCCTGGGAGCAAAGGCTGGCAGGAGTTGAAGGACATAATATGTTCCCTGACAGCTTGCAGAGAGGAGGAGGTTGGCAGAGTTGGGGGTAGGGCAGGGAAACCTGTCTAAAATTAGAATTTGGTCACTAAGGCCCTGGGTGAGTTCAGGCTGCCAACTGATCAGACAGGAAAAGCTAGCCTGGGCATGCTCCTTGGACCCTGGGCTACAACAGTTTGATCTGCAGAGATCAGCAGGTGCAAAGGTTTCTCTCAGAGAGGAGAGAAGCTTCATAGCCTGCGAAAGCCTGCACACCAAACAACATTTGGAAGAGCAGAAGGAGGAAGGACTGGTGAAAGTAAAAATAAAAATTGGCAAGCCTAAATGTTGCATGCACTGTATCATGTTGTTGCAATGGCTCCCGAAAGCCTTAGGCTCTTGCCCAAGAACCTCGGGGCGCTGCAACTATGATTTAGCTAGGAGCGAGAGAGGTGGACCAAATTCTGGCGTCGCACAGGGTGCCGCTGAAATTTGAGACCCCCAAGTCCGCCGTTGCCTGTGCTTGGCTGTCCCAGAAACATGTGGGTTCCTTCAGAGTGCTGGTATAATGCAACCCACACCTTGGTGTTCCCTAAAAGCCATCAGTAAGCATTAGCGTTCCAGAGTCACTAATCCAGAATTTCCTTTCACTTGGTTCAACAGCTGGCACATTCATTGATGGGACTTGGGGTCAGGGATGTTGGGACCTTCCAGATGTTGCTGGACTCCAGCTCCCATTATCCATAACCATCAGCCATGCTGGCTGCAGCTGATGGGAGTTAGGGTCCAAGAAGAGACTCACAGATGCCCCATGCCTGGCTCGGCTGACACTCTTTAAGGTTTGTTCTTAACATAAGAATACGCATAATTACGACTCATTTAAGAGTGTGACGTTATGCGTGCCTACTCAGAAGTAAATGCCAGTGAGTTCAAGGGATCTTCTAAGTAGTTATGTTGTCGGATTGTAGCCTGTTCATATAATAAAAGATTTCCTCACTTCTTCCCCCTACACATGTGTAGCAAACACACAAAGGTAAGAAGGACCACCTTCACCCATCATCACTGGCTTAATAATAATAATAATAATAATAATAATAATAATAATAATTTATTACTTATACCCCGCCCATCTGGCTGGGTTTCCCCAGCCACTCTGGGCAGCTTTCAACAAAGGATTAAAAATACATTAAAACATCAGTCATTAAAAACTTCCCAAAACAGGGCTGCCTTCAGATGTCTTCTAAAAGTCAGATAGTTGTTTATTTCCTTGACATCTCATAGGAGGGTGCCACTACCGAGAAGGCTCTCTGCCTGGTTCCCTGTAACCACACTTCTCGCAGGGAGGGAACTGCCAGAAGGCCCTCGTAGCTGGACCTCAGTGTCCGGGCTGAACGATGGGGGTGGAGACGCTCCTTCAGGTATACTGGGCCGAGGCCATTTAGGGCTTTCAAGGTCAGCACCAACACTTTGAATTGTACTGGGAGCCAATGTAGGTCTTTCAAGACTGGTGTTATGTGGTCTCGGCGGCTGCTCCCAGTCACCATCCCTTGTGTTCAGAAGAGCATCTGAAAAGGCAGGTTGCATTCACACAGGCATAAGTTTTCCTTGTGATTAGGAATCGTGGGGAGCCTAGAGCACATAGACTCCCTGAACATTGGCAGATTCATGTTACGTGTGGAGGAGGAATGAATGAAGACACCTCAAAAGTTTGAGTTCAAGGTGGCATGCCTAATTGAGGCCAGGGAAAGGCACCAACCACACAGAATGTGAACTGACCAATGCTTAGATATACATTATCAGCACACCTCTTCTTATACCTAACTTATACCAGTTTTGCACCAGTTTGCTTGTCATAGCTATGGATGGTGTGGGGTGCAAAATTCAGTTCTGTTCACGTCTAAAAGCGAATCAACTTAATTTGCACTATCTGAAACAATACGCAAACGGAAACGCAGCCATCCTGGGATACCCTGACTTCTCCGTTTACGGTGGAAAGCGGTCTTCCGAAACTGAAACTAAATAAATAGATAAATAAATTTTATAGGCTCAAGGAGGCTTACAATACAACATTCAAAAAGAACAATTGAACAGCAAAACATATTAAAAGTTCAAACGAACTGACAGAGAAACGGTGCGGTGTCTCCACTGAGGCTTAAATTTATGCACCAGGGGTACATACAATGTAAACTTTCACCAGTTTTGCACCAGTTTGATTGCAATAGCTGTTGCGGGGGGAGAAACTCAATTCAGTTTGCATTTAAAGGCAAACCAACCAAATTTGCACTTTCCAAAACAATAGACAAACCAAAACACGGTTGTCCCTTGAAATTTGCACTTCTAGGAATTTTGCAATTCAGTTTTTCAGCTAAGTAATGTGTACATCCCCCAAAAAACAAACAAACCTGGGAGTAAACTATACCTAAAAATGCATATATTGGTGAAAATAACACACAAATTTTTTTGGGGGGGGGACTGCGTTGCAAAAATGTGTAAATTAAGCAAAAATGTGTACCCAAAAACGTGTGTATTAGAAAACATTCCCTCCTCCCAACAAATCGCAAACTAGTTTGGAAATGTGAACAACTTAATTTAAGATTTGGAAAAAATGAGAAACCGAGAGAAACCAAAATCAATAGATTGGCCCATCCCTAGTCAAAGCTCCCTGGTCTCCCACTTCCTGGAATCATTGTTTTGTGGGGATATAATGCATTCTCTATTTTAAAAATATTTGACACGTTGGTCCTGAACTAGTCAGCGCCGATGGGCTACTGGAGGAGAAACTGATGGGATGCCCTGCTTAGGCTGTTGATCTCCAGCTCCCCTCTGCCCCAGCCACCGTAGTCAATGGAGAGGGACGGTGGGAATTGTAGCCCCATAACACCAGGAGGGCACCACTTTGGCCATCCTTGAATCAAAGGCAGGTCACAAGAACAGCCTGACTGCCATGCAGTAAAAATAATAATAATCATGATTGGGAAATGCATTTTTCAGCTGAAGCAGGTGTGAAAAACCTTTGGTCCTCTATATGCTGCTGAACTACAACTCCCATCAGCCTGAGCAAGCATGGCCAGTGTCCTGGGATGATGGGAGTAATAGTTTAGGGCCAAGGGTTCCCCACACCTAGGCTACAGGCTGGCCCTGAGTCTGAAAGGGTTAAGATTACAGCCATGTCTGCACACATAGGACTACAGTTCCCAGAATTCCTTGAGGGCACGACCATTAAAGCTATTTAAGGAGCCTATGTATGTTCACTAGTGACAACCGCACTAACTAGCTGAAGAACTGGAACTTACTTTGAAATCAATATAAATGGCTGTATTCCCAATTAGTGCAGGTCTTAGTGCTGTTAAGTGTTCACGCAGTAGGAAGTGGTGAGTCCATGGAGGAACCTAGACACATATAAAAAACATTTATGAAAAATGCTTTTTCTTGAAAAATGTTTTGAAAAAATATATTGAATTTAGCATAGCTCACCATCGCCATCTAGTGTCCCATTTGTATAATGCACTTTACAACACACTTAAAACGTTTTATTCGCAGCTGTGTAGCTGAGTCCCATGTCTAACCAGTCTCCGTTTGTATGTGCTAGAAAGGGCCATAGCTCAGTGACAGAGAATGTGTCTTACGTGCAAGAAGTTCTCAGATTTAACCTCTGGCATCTCCAGGTAGGTCTGGGAGAGACCTGAAATCCCAGAAAGGCGCTATCAGTCGGTCTAGACAACACTGAGCTATATGGACCAATGGCCTGCCTCAGGATAAGGCGCCATTTTGTGTCTCCTCTGATTCCTTTCGAAATTGAGATTTATTTCGCTGCCCTCCCCTTGACCCAGCAGACCACTCTGAAACACTGCTTGTTGAACAAAAACAACAACAAAAAGAAAAGGCAGGTGAGGACAGGGTGAAAAGGAGATAGAATCAAAACCTATTTATTGAGTGTATTCTTTATTTTTTTAAAAAAACAGCTTGTATGATTGGTTGTATTTTGGGTTGTTGTTGTTCTTTTTAAAAAAAGAAAATAAGAAAGGGTGAAATGTTAGCTGCTGCTTGGGTGGGTGCCAGGCGGAACGGAAGGGGTTGTTCCTCTGGGAATTAATTTCTAAATGTATATCACAGTAAATATTTGTAAAGAAGAAGAAAAGAATCTTTAAGTAAATTATTGCTTTTTAAACTATATGTTATATAATTGTACAGTCCGGTCTCAGAGACTAGAATAATATATACATATGTATTTTTTAAAAAACGACACTGCTGCATAGATCAATCTGAAATGATTGGTAGGTAAAGCCATGCAGAGCTAGCAAATAGCAAGATTATTTTTCCGTTCTCTCTCAGTCCTGCTCCATATTCTCCTCCCTTGGTAAATACCTAGCTCTGGAGAATAATGTTATATAAAATGTATAGCTCTAGAAACTGAATGTGCTGTTATATAATGTACAATAATAACAACAATAATAATAATATATATTTTTTGCCTACTTCCGAGTGTGACAGTGGATCATTTTCTCGATGCCGCCAGGATGCAAGCTAAGAATTAACCCAACAGTTTCTGTTTAAGAAGTTGAGAAAAAGCTTTTGAGTAAGTTACAGTTGCCACCTTTCCGCTGCCCACTTTGCTCCTGTGCCTATATGAGCACAACATTTTAAATTGGGGTTCAGCAAACTTTTTCAGCAGGGAGCCAGTCCACTGTCCCTCACATCTTGGGGGGGCAGACTATATTTTGAAGGGGGGGAAGAACGAATTCCTATGCCCCACAAATAACCCAGAGATGCATTTTAAATAAAAGCACACATTCTACTCATGTAAAAACACACTGAATCCTGGACTGTCCGCAGGCCAGATTTAGAAGGCGATTGGGCCAGATCTGGCCCCTGGGCCTTAGTTTGCCTACCCATGTTTTAAATTCTCCACACCAGGAAATGTTTACCTGTTCAATTTCTGCATTACTGAAGTGTTGTTGAAGGCAGGAGAAGAGCAAGACCAGGAGCGGAGACTGGCACTGCCAGGCAGCTGCCAAACTTCACCATCAGGGAGGGGTGAGAAAAAATTGGTGTGGTTCAGCTTTTACCTAATTTGCACTTTCTGAAAGAATATGTGAACTGAAGCACAGCTATCCTTGAAACCCGCACTTCTCTAACAAATTTATCCAATGCTGATCCTACTCGGAGTCTTCTTCTTTGGCGATCCCTCTTAGCCAAGTAAGATTGTCTTCCATGAACTCATTTTAACAATGAGTCCGTAAGTGACTGTGGAGGCCAGTTCTGGATCCACACGTACTTCTACAGTGGGGACATTGGTTTCCAGGTGGGAGTTTATCACGGCGTGGTCTACTTGGAGTAGACCTGCTGAAGTTAATGGATCTGCTTACTCTCCAGGTGGTGCAACGGGTCAGTGCATCTGGCTGTTAACCAGAAGGCTGGTGGTTTGAGTTCACCCAGGGAAAGTTTAGGCCAGGATTCCTGCATTGAGAGGGTTAGACTCGTTGACCTTCAAGGTCCCTTCCAACTCTACAATTCTATGATTTTATGAACAACTTAGGTTGATTAATACTTCTCCTCTTGAGTGGACCCTCGTTGGATAGAACCTGATAGGCACAAAAAATGCATGTCCTTGGAGAACATGTGCATAAGAACTTATCTATTTGTGAAAATATAACTACAGTGGTACCCTGGTTCTCAAACGCCTTGGTACTCAAACAGCTTGGAACCCAAACACCTCAAATCCGGAAGTAAGTGTTCCCGTTTGCGAACTTTTTTCGGAAGCCGAACGTGCTCCGTTTTCAGTGTTACGCTTCCAATTTGAGTGCCACACTTCCGTTTTGAGTGTTACGCTGAGGTCTGTCTGTTTTTGCTGTTTATTTTGCGTTTTTTGTTTTTGCGGCTTTTTTGTTTTGTTTTTGTGACTGTGTGGAACCCATTTCAGCTGCTGATTGATTGATTGATTGATTGAGTGGCTGCAGTACATTGTTTATCGCTTTCATTTTATGGATCAGTGGTCTCATTTGATAGTAAAATTCATGTTAAATTGCTGCTTTAGGAGTTGTCTTTAAAAGTCTGGAACGGATTAATCCGTTTTGCATTACTTTCTATTGGAAAGCGCGCCTCGGTTTTGGAACACTTTGATTTTGGAACGGACTTCCGGAACGGATTAAGTTTGAGAACCCAAGGTACCACTGTAATAATATACATTGCTTATGGAGAAATTGCTTGTCAAAACAGGTAAGCCAAAATTACATCATAAAACGTGTATTTTAGGAGAAAGGCGCACTAAAATCCTGACAACTGCCACACTTTTAAAGGGGGCAAACTCACTCATGGGATTCTCTTGCCCTATGGGTCTGCCATGCAGGTACTCCATTTGAGCAGGTGTGTCCCACCGATGAAGGTCCTCCCTGGTACTTGGTGACAAAACCATCTTTCCCCTCTGCCTCCAGCTCCAATGCCAACTCCTCCTGTTCAGGCCCTCCATCTAGCTGGGTGCCAGCTCCTCCTCCTCCCTTCTCAACCTGGGAACACCCAAACTATGCCAAATCCTGACACCTGAGGGGCCCATAACAGTTTCCATTAGCCCAATGGTCAGGGTCAGTGGTGGCTTGTGCCCATTGGGACTGGTGGGCAAAAAGACGAGAAGCCAATGGGAGGTGGAGTCACAGCCAAGAACAGGTAGTCACAACAAGGTTGTGAGAAGGCAACGTCTTCTATTCCGCCTTGTATTTGCCACGTTGCACTGCGTTTCCGTTCTACTGCGGTCTGTCTTGTGCCAAAAACAACATAATTCCTATTGCCATCTGCTGCGGCGAAACCAGGTAACTGACGTTTTGTGCTTATTGTCATTACATCATTCCACCCCATTCATTTCAACACAAAGGAAACACAAGGCAAATGGCCGGGAGGAGAAATGTAATAAATTGCATATGGCTTGTGGACAGAAAGCAACAACAACAGCAAATGCAAATAGTGCTCACTGGATTGTGTTCTTTTCCAGACATGGGACAAATAAGCCAACATTGGCGATTTCTGTTCCCGTTTCGTTTTTCTTCGAAATTTTCCAGCATCCCTAAGTCAGAGCCAATGATAGCCATTGTCTTTTGTACTTTGTCTCCACCCTCCTCCCAGCTGACATCTACAAGGGAAATGTTAAAACTAAGGAGGAGAATCCTGGACCAATGTGGTGTAGTGGTTAAGAGCGGTGGACTCGTAATCTGGTGAACCGGGTTCGCATCTCCGCTCCTCCACATGCAGCTGCTGAGTGACCTTGGGCCAGTCACACTTCTCTGAAGTCTGGGGAGGAAGGGAAAGGAGAATGTTAGCCGCTTTGAGACTCCTTCGGGTAGTGATAAAGCAGGATATCAAATCCAAACTCCTCCTCCTCCTCCTCCTCTTCTTCTTCTTCTTCTTCTTCTTCTTCTTCTTCTTCTTCTTCTTCTTGGAACTGTAGTTTGTTAAGGTCTTATTCACACTAAATGTTTAAAGCGGTTATGGCACACACATACGCCCCAAATCCTGGAAACTATAGTTTGTTAAGAGGGCCGAGAATTGTTAGGAGATCCCTATTTCCCCTCACAGAGCTACAATTCCCAGAGTTCCCTAGGAAGAGGAATTGATTATTAAACCACTCTGGGAATTGTAGTTCTGTGGGGGGGAAATAGGGAAAGAAGGGAGACCAAGAGGCAGAGATGAGTCCGGCTGGTGAAGAAGCATGGGTGTCTCCCCTTCCTGCGGCGAAAAGCTCCCTTCCCCTCTGGTCTCCCAGGACCAGGAGAGGCATGAAGAGGGAGGAGCAAAGGCAGGCACACAGGCACAGTCTCAGATTGCTTGGGGTAAACCCTGGAAAGACTTCAGCAGCTATGAGAAGGTGGGGACCTTCAGTCTCCCCAACTGCTCCATAGATGCAAGAAGAGTTGCTGGACTCATTAGGCCAGCCACTCCTGAACAGATCTTGTTGCCCCCCAATAAAGAGTTAACTGCACTCACTCCGTGTGATTTACTGCTGGCTCGCCCCTGACAAAGAATCTGCAGAGGGAGGGGGAAGGTTTATAAGGAGGTGTGGAGAGTTTTGTTTACTTATATGTGTGTCTTGAGTGGGACTGGAGTGTGATGTGTATTCCTTTGCTTGCTTGCTAGAATCCTCGATTTCTTCCTGCCTTTCTCCCCCAAGACTCTCTCTTCCTTTCTTTGGATCCCCACCCCCGCCCAGCATCTCCCCTCCCCTCCCATTTATCAAATCTGAATGCTAAAAAGCACACTCCAAACCCTTTCCACATTCCCTTGGGTTTAAGCATGTGTGTGTTTTATTTGCAGTGCCTATATGCTAAAGTGTATAGTCTTCGGAAAGTATTCACCCAACATATTTTTGATAATGCTGCATATTGCATCTCAGTTTTAATTTACAGTTTTAACTGTTTTGCTTTGCTTTGCTTTGCTTTGGGAAACAAAGAGAGAACCATTTTGGGAGGTGATATAAATGCAGTTAATAAATTAACCCCACCTACCTGGAAGTTAGCTCCACTGAATACATTCAGATTTGCTCAGAGCAGAAACAGCCACCAGACCCAAGAGAAAAGCCCTGTTCATGTTGCTACCTTCCCTTGATCAGGTATTCTGTGTAGAACCATTTTTTTAAAATGCAAGTTTGGTTTTCTTTTGTGGTTCTCTGCAATTATATGATTCTGTGATTTCTCATTCACATTTTATTCTCACAACCCTAAGACATAGGCTGACAGTGAATAGCTCAAGGTCTCCTAGGAAGCTTCATAGATGAGGTTTTTAAGCATAGGATTATTATTATTATTATTATTATTATTATTATTATTGCTATTGCCATCTGTCATGGATGCTATAGCTGAGATTCCTGCATTGCAAGGGGTTAGACCAGATGACCTGTTGATCTCTTGCAACTCTAATAATAATAATAATATCAAAATAATACTGAGTGCTGTTTTTCTGTGGGGACGCAGGACTCCGCACACCCCTAAATTTTTTTTTGAATCTTTGTACTTTTGTCCATTTACTGTATTTATTTTTCTCGATTTGAACTATAAAATGGTGATTTTCTTGAGTCAAAATGAGAGTACCCCTAAACATTTGTTTAAAGGAAAAAAGCACTGATAATAATAATTTATTATTTATACCCCACCCATCTGACTGGGTTAATAACAAGCCACTCTGGGCGGTTCCCAACAGAATATTAAAAACACGATAAAACAGTAAACATTAAAAACTTCCCTGAACAGGGCTGCCTTCAGATGTCTTCTAAAAGTCAGAGAGTTGTTTCCACAGGTCCAGCGCCACTACCGAAAAGGCCCTCTGCCTGGTTCCCTGTAGCCTCACTTCTTGCAGGGAGGGAACTGCCAGAAGGCCCTTGGCGCTGGACCTCAGTGTCCAGGCAGAACGATGAAGGTGGAGACGCTCCTTCAGGTATACTGGGCTGAGGCCATTTAGGGCTTTAAAGGTCAGCACCTTTAAATTGAATTGTGCTCAGAAACGTACTGAGAACCAACGTAAATCTTTCAGGACCAGTATTTCAGAAGAATAGTGTCCAGATCAAGGGAATATTTGCACCCCGGCGCCGCATCTGCTAAAGATGGCTCTGCTGTAGAGACAAACTGCCTCCTCCTCCCCTTATTACAGAATGTTTGCTTTCAGAACCTCTTCATGCCCCCTTAACCTTTCCAGAGTCCCTGCCTGCCTTGACCTTCAAGCCTTTTGTAGGCATTTAATTCAAAGCCGCCTTCTTGCTCTTTAATAAGGCAGAAAAAACTCCTTTGTACATATTGTTACAAAAGTCGGGTGCCTCCCCCTCTCTCTGCCGAGCGGTGGCAGGAGCCCAGAGGGTTCCAGGCACTCACTCCAGGGTCTGTGTTCCTTTGGAGAATTAAGATACGGCGGAGACTGTCGTGGCTTTAAGAAATATGGTTTATTCACCTATTTACACCTTCAATCTGCACGGAAGGAGTCCAGATCTTACAGCATGGTCATTTCAAGAGGAGCTTGTCCCTCACAGCAGTGCAGCCAGCCTTCGGCCAGCCTGCCCAAGATGGATCCCACTCTTTTCTCTCCTTTCTTCCCAGCAACCCTTGCTCAAGACTCTCTTTTCCAGTCACCTCATGTCCAGTTACCCTGACATCCTTCCAAACTCCTGTCTCTGTTCACACCTCAAGGCAGGAGGAAGAACAGTTCTCTTGCATTGCCAATGGCCCTCAGTGGCCCTCAATTGTTTCTTATTGGCCCTAGCTATGTTTTGCACAGGCTAGCCCAGGAATTCCTCGGGAGCTTGTTTTCCCCCTTCATATCCCAAATAATCAAAATTCTATCATTTATTAATTTCTAGGGTCTTTTTTTGGGGGGGGGAGGCTCCAAATCTATAACAAGATTAACCCCCCACCCTAGTTCTCTCCCCAAGCTGAAAGACCAAACAAGATTTATTTCCCCCCTTGTTTTCCTAGGACTTCAGGAAGAGGCAATCTGAGCCAGGTTGGGAAGCGGTTGTTGGAAAGGCTTGTGCATTTTTTTCAGAACCAGTTGTGCAATCATCGCATTTAATAACCAGTGTAAAATGGCCCTCCTGAGATTTGACCCATAGTAGGATGAAGCGTCAGTTCAGAAAGGGCAAGGGACAGGCTGAAGGAGAAATTCAGTGCAGTTTGCGTTTAAAGACAAACCTACCTAATTTGTAGTTCCCCAAACGGTATGAAACACAGCTGCCCTTTGAAATTCACACTTTTCCCAATTTTGCAGTGCAGTTTGCCCGTCATGTGTACAGAAATGCATGTAGCAGGACAAAGTACAGTGGTACCTCAGGTTAAGTACTTAATTCGTTCTGGAGGTCTGTACTTAACCTGAAACTGTTCTTAACCTGAAGCACTACTTTAGCTAATGGGGCCTCCTGCTGCCGCCGCGCCACCGGAGCATGATTTCTGTTCTCCACCTGAAGCAAAGTTCTTAACCTGAAGCACTATTTCTGGGTTAGCGAAGTATGTAACCTGAAGCGTATATAACCTGAAGCATATGTAATCTGAGGTACCACTGTAGCAGGACAAAGTACACATAAAAATGTTTGTATATTTGTGTGGGGGGGGGGGGTAAATAACAAATTGCTCCCTTTCCCTTATAGAGTATCCAAGAGCCTGTATAGAGTCCTTTATTGGGTTCCCTATTGGTAGGAGAAATAACAGAGGCCAACCAGAGAATACTGAGAAGCAAAGCAGCTAGTAAGCCTGATCTTTATTAAACTGTTGCAACAGGGTCCTCACTCACCACAAGCAGGAAAGAGGAGGAACCCAGAATAATAGTGTGCCCGCCCTTATATAGACTTTTGAAATTGCCCACCCTGTAGCCCAAGACCACCCCCAAAAAACATCATACATACATCACAGAAGGAGGCGGACTCCAGCAGAAATCCTGATTGCTAGAATATCTTTTAATAGTCACTGATTGCTTTACCTGGGCAGCCTGGCCATTCTTTTGTGATGGTTAAAACTTTTAATTCCTGAATCCAGGTCACAGGCTCACCCTATTCATACACAAAAAAATGCCCTTAAGACAGGATTTGTAAGCAAGAAGACAAAGGGAAGGCTTTCCCCATTTCCTCCCTCCTCACAGAGAAATATATTGAGGTCAATTTGGGGGGTCATAACGGTTTCAGGATTGCTCTCCTGTACTATTTTGGACACGTGGTTTATACACTTATGTGTGTGTTTGCCTTGTACATTTATGAACGTTTATTGTATATTTGGGACCTTAGAATTCTTTTAACAATACAAAAGGGTGTAATATATAAGGGAACATTGCTTGTAGAGGTGTGTATATTAGGCGAAATTACCCACAAAATTAGAAGAAAATAGCACTCGGATGCTGATGAGTTTTCATGAGGACTTGCATACTGATGTGGAAACATGAAGAACTGAATGCATGGCTGGAAGAAACAAGAAACTGGGAGAAACTGGCAGGTACATCCCTGTCTCCCACCTTCCTTCTTTCTTGCAGCCATTCTCTACTTCTTACGCTCCTCCCTCCCTTCCTTTCCTAGACCTGCTTTTTGCTGCTCTGTTTGCAATGCCTTCTGGGAAGGCCTTGTTCTTTGAGGTTGTCTGCTTCTACCCTAGGGTACGATACCACTGGGAAGTGAATGGGTTGCTCACGCGAGGTAACCATAGTAACACATCATCAGCTTCTCCACAGATTTCTAATGCCAATTTTGTTTTTCTGCCAGCATTAAGGGAGAACATCTTTCTTTCCTTTTCTACACTTCCCCCCCCGCCCCCCTTCAACAGCATTGAATACAGGCATATTTTTATGGGTCTGCGAAGTAGTCTTACTTTCTTCCTCTTAATCTCCTCCGAGGTAAAAATTCTTTTGCTAATACGCTGGGCTACTTAACAGGAGACCAACTGCTGGCATCTTAAACTGAGGGAATGTCAGTTTTAATTCTCTTGTTCCGCCTTAATTTGTGGCAGAGGAATGAAACTCAAAATTTCCTTTAGGTTTGGTAGTAAAGAGATTCTGTGAGGTTAAAAACCCCAAATGACATTTTCTGTTTAAAACCTCTTAAAAGCACAGAGACACAGGAAGTTGCCTTAGGTAAAGGCAGTGCTTTTTTCAGAGGGGGGGGGACACGCAGGGGTACACATACCCCTAAACGTTTTGTGAATCTTTGCACTTTTGTCCATTTACTGTTTTTATTTTCCCCGATTTGAACTATAAAATTGTGGTTTTCCTGAGTCAAAATGAGAGTACCCCTAAACATGTTTTTGTTTTTTTTTAGAAGAAAGCACTGGGGAAAGGTAAAGGTAAAGGACCCCTGGACGGTTAAGGCCAGTCAAAGGTGGCTATGGGGTTGCGGTGCTCATCTTGCTTTCAGGCCTGTTTGTTCGCAGACAGCTTTCTGGGTCATGTGGCCAGCAGGACTAAACCACTTCTGCTGCAACAGAACACCGTGACGGAAACCAGAGCGCACGGAAACGCCATTTACCTTCCCGCTGCAGCGGTACCTATTTATCTACTTGCACTGGCATGCTTTCGAACTGATAGGTTGGCAGGAACTGGAACACAGCAAAGAGTCATGGGGGATTTGAACCACTGACCTTCTGATCAGCAAGCCCAAGAGGCTCAGTGGTTTCAACCACAGCGCCACCCGCGTCCCTACAGGAAGTTGCCTTATACTGCATCAGATCAGGTCATTAGTCCATCGAGCTCAGGATTATTGACATTGGCTCAATACTGCCGACACTGACTGGCAGTGGCTCTTCCAAATTTTAGGAAAGGGTCTCTTCCAGCCATACCTGGAGATGCCAAAAATGAACCTGGGATCTTCTGCATGCAAGGGAGATCCTCTACTCTTGCACAATGGCTCATCTTTCTTTGTATTAACCATTCTTGACATTTGTATGTCTTACTGAGGCTTCCATGTGGAGCACGCTGGTTTATGGAAGTGAGTCATGGGCAACTTACAACCGTCAGGAGCGATGCCTCAACACCTTCCACCTGCGCTGTGTCAGGAAGATTTGGGCCATCACATGGCAGGACAGAGTCTCAAACAGAGATGTGTTCTCCCAAGCGCACAGTCCTAGCATATTTGCACTCCTGTCTCAGCGACGTCAACGCTGGCTTGGTCATGCTCGCAGAATGGAAGAACGCAGAATCCCCAAGGACGTCCTCTATGGGGAACTGGCTTCTGGCACCAGACCCATTGGCAGACCAAGACTACATTACAAAGATGTCTGCAACATGACATGAAGGCTGACATCATCAACCCCGCTGTGTGGGAATCCCTTGCAGGCAACCACAGTGCCGAGAGACAGATAGTCAGGTTGTGTATCCCTAGCAGGGGCCAGAGGAGGAATGACCACAAAGAAAAAATGCCATTTTGCATCTGCAGCAGCACAACCGGACACCTTCATCTGCCCCAGCTGCAACAAAACATCTCTCTCCTGTTTCGGTCTCTACAGCCACAGCCGGCACTGTAACTCTGCAATGGTTTGACTTCACCCCCAAAGGCACACTTCTCCACTGCTGTCTCCTGAGCCAGACAGATGCCAACCAACAACAGAGTGCTCAGAGCTTTTCGTACATTTCTCTCAGCAATCTGTTAGGTAGGCCAAACATTACTATCCTCACGCTGGAAAAACGAGGGGCTACCTGCTTACCTATAGCTACCTGCAGCCTAGTAGAGACTCTGGTTGTACAGTCGTACCTTGGAAGCCGTTCCGGAAGTCCATTTGACTTCCAAAACATTCGACAACCGAGGCGTGGCTTCCGATTGGCTGCAGGAGCTTCCCAGTACGTTTCCAAGCACAATTCAAAGTGTTGGTGCTGACCTTTAAAGCCCTAAACAGCCTCGGTCCAGTATTTCTGAAGGAGCGTCTCCACCCCCATCGTTCTACCTGGACACTGAGGTCCAGCGCCGAGGGCCTTCTGGTGGTTCCCTCACTGTAAGAAGTGAAGCTACAGGGAACCAGGCAGAGGGCCTTCTCAGTAGTGGCACCCACCCAGCAGATGTCAAAGAGAACAACAACTACCAGACTTTTAGATGACACCTGAAGGCAGCCCTGTTTAGGGAAGCTTTTAATGTTTGATGCATTACTGTATTTTAATATTGTGTTGGAAGCCACCCAGCCAGACAGGCGGGGTATAAATAAATTATTATTATTATTATTATTATTATTATTATTACTCAGAAGCTGCGCCAGCGTTCAGCTTCCAAAGGACATTCGCAAACCGGAACACTCACTTCCGGGTTTGTGGCATTTGGGAGACAAAACATACGAGTGCCAAAGCGTTCAGCTTCCATGGTACGACCGTATTTGGGTTTCTGTGACGGAGTCCTCTGAGTCAGAGAGTGGGAATGTGGCAACCTTGAGTTGGTAGGGCTGTCAGCATTACAGTATCAATTCGTGGAAGTGCATGGCCTTCCAGTTCAGTGTCGTCAATCTCATCCCCTGAAGAAGGGAGATCCAATCTCAGGGTCATGGCAATTTGGGGACTTGGACCCTCTGGCAATAAATGTATAGCACCTCCCCATTATAAATGTTAGTCCTAAAAGAATCCAGCTTGAGACAGTTTCCCTGCAAGAAGATAAATGGAACTGTTTCCTTCTCTTACTTTCCGTACGTGACGTGCCGGGACTTTGCTGCAGCGACTCTGGAGAGAACATCTCTCCATCTCTTAGGTCATGTAGCAGACCCTTTAAGTTATTCCATTTCCTCTCGGGGAAAGACCAGAATGTCAATGGAGGAGTTATTTATGTTGGCAAATGCATGTCGGCACACGAACTGCCTGGCTCTTTGGCCCAAATCTTTTATTAATGGGTGCATTTGTATTTGCAAATGCCTGTTGAGCACTTCTGTATGGAACCACATCCTTTGCCAATGCATTTCTCAGCGGTTAACTAAGTAATCGATAAGAAGGCTGCACGGAGCAAGCTGAGGCAGATAGGGGCGTTTTCAGAAATTATACCGAAAGCTCCATTAACTTCTTTTACACGGCTTGTGAGCAAGTGGAAACGACTTCTGGGCTGGTCTGGGTGACCAGGAATCCACGTTGTCACTGTTGTTTTTAAATAGCTCGGGGACTGATCCAGTTGGCCACTTACAAAGACTAGGGATGGGTGGATCTGTCAATCACAGTTTCTCGTTTTTCCATTCTTATAGTCAGTTCGCCACATTTCTACATCAGTTTGCATTTTTTTAAAAAAAAGGCAGCATGAAAGTTTATCAACATAGAGTGGTACCTCAGGTTATGAACTTAATTCGTTCCGGAAGTCCATTCTTAACCCGAAGCATTCTTAACCCGAGGCGCACATTCCCTACATAGGCCTCCCGCGGCCCCGGAAGCGGATTCTGTTCGTATCCCAAGGCAAAGTTCGCAACCCGGAGCACCTACTTCCACGTTTGCGGAGTTTGTAACCCGAAGCGTTCATAAGTAGGATGGTTCGTAACCTGAGGTACCACTGTATTTCTTCTAATATACACATGTTCGTATCTAATTTTGCCTAACATATACTATACATTTTTGCAAAGCAATGTTTCCTTCATAGATTGTGTTTTTTATACATTTTTTCCATTTTCCCCATTAATGCGTGCATTTTAAGGCACCTTTTATTCCAATATATGCATTATGTGGTCCATATTATCTGGAGAAATGCATTGCAAAATTCATAGCAATGCAAATTCTGAAGGATAGTTGTATGTTGGTCTTTATATTGTTTCCGGATGTGTGAATTAAGCAGGCTCACCTTTAAAGGTGAACTGAATCAAAATCTCTTCCCACCCCTAACTGATAACCAAGCTCTGATCTCCCGATACTTGAGGTCCTTCTTTATTTTTCCATTTATGTACCTGTTCCACCACAGCGACGACAAATTCGCAATTTAGGCTGCCATCCTAAACCCACTTCCCTGGTAATGAGCTACATGGGATTGAGTAGGGTTTCCTTTTGAGTAGACGTGGTTAAGAGTTCATTGTAATAATAATAATAATAATAATAATAATAATAATAATAATTCCCCAGCCACTCTGGGTGGCTCCCAACCGAATAGTAGAAACACAATACAGCGTCTCCATCCCCATCGTTCAGCCTGGACACTGAAGTCCAGCTCAGAGGGCCTTCTGGCAGTTCCCTCACTGCGGGAAGTGAGGTTACAGGGAACCAGGCAGAGGGCCTTCTTGGTAGTGGCGCCCACCCTGTGGAACGCCCTCCCATCAAATGTCAAAGAAATAAACAACTATATGACTTTCAGAGGACATCTGAAGGCAGCCCTGTTTAGGGAAGTTTTTAATTTCTTATGTCTCTTTTTATATTCTGTTGGAAGCTGCCCAGAGTGGCTGTGGAAACCTAATCAGATGGGCGGGGTACAAGTAATAAATTATATCATCATCAGTCTCCAGTCACAGCTCCTCAGTGTCCAGCCAGACCCATTCCCCTGCCTGCCCGCCCCCAAACTTTCCCCCCAATGAGGCTGAAAGTTCTCTGCAGACAACTCTCCACCCAGCATGTACCAAGCCAGGAAGCCGAAAGGAACTGGACTGATTTCAGCAGCTGGCTATGGAGGGCATCTGGTTATTCCAAGAAGCAGAGTTCTCTGTCCATGGTCCTGGCTTCAGAGCCAGCTGATGATGGAAATATCACCCAAGCAAATATGCAACAGGAGAAGCACAGGGGGCTTCTCCAGATGACCTGCTTAGTGAGGAGTCATCCTGATTTCCGGTCACAAAGGTTATGTGGAGGATGAACATCCTCTGGTCTTCACTGGGCATTTGTTCTGATTTGTTTGCAGGGACGTTACATGGCAATAATCACTCGCACTGATTTGTTTATATGTTTTCCAATTAATCATTCGTTCACCCCATGCTTTTCAGCGTATATCCCTGTTGCTTTCATAATTGCAAATAACCTGCTTTTTTAATTAAAAAAAATGGATGTGTTGCACCATGATGATAGAGCACTCTAATCACTTGGGTGTCCTTCTGGACCCTTTGCTGTCACTTGAGGCTCAGGTGACTTCGGTGGCACAGAGTGCCTTCCGTCAGCTTTGGCTGGTGGCCCAGCTACACCCCTATCTGGACAAGGATAGCCCAACTTCTGTTGTCTATGCTCTGGTAGCATTTAGGTTAGATTGCGGGTGGTGCTGTGGGTTAAACCACAGAGCCTAGGACTTGCCGATCAGAAGGTCAGCGGTTTGAATCCCTGTGATGGGGTGAGCTCCCGTTGCTCGGTCCCTGCTCCTGCCAACCTAGCAGTTCGAAAGCACCTCAAAGTGCAAGTAGATAAATAGGTACCGCTCCAGCGGGAAGGTAAACGGCGTTTCCGTGTGCTGCTCTGGTTCACCGGAAGCGGCATAGTCATACTGGCCACAGACGCGGGTGGCACTGTGGGTTAAACCACAGAGCCTAGGACTTGCCGATCAGAAGGTCAGCGGTTCAAATCTCCGCTACGGGGTGAGCTTCCATTGCTCGGTCCCTGCTCCTGACAACCTAGCAGTTCAAAAGCATGTCAAAGTGCAAGTAGATAAATAGGTACCACTCTGGCGGGAAGGTAAACGGTGTTTCCGTCCGCTGCTCTGGTTCACCAGAAGCGGCATAGTCATGCTGGCCACATGACCCGGAAGCTGTACGCCGGCTCCCTCGGCCAATAAAGCGAGATGAGCGCCGCAACCCCAGAGTCGGACACGACTGGACCTAATGGTCAGGGGTCCCTTTACCTTTACCTTACTGCAACATGTTATATGCGGGGCTGCCTCTGAAGAAGGTTCAGAAATTTCTGCTGGTGCAGAATTCAGCGGCCTGGTTGCTCTGCTCTACATCCTTTTCACATGTACCACTGGCAAGCCAGGTGTCTCCCATCTTATATTTGTGCAGCTGGTTCTTCCTGCCTGAGTGTAGAATCTTACATTTGTCCCTATTGAAATTCATTCTGTTAGTTTGGCCCCTGTTCTTCAACCTGATAAGGTCATATTGAATCCCGATTCTGTCTTCAGTGGAATTGGCTACCCTTCCCGGTTTAGTGAGTAAATTTGATGAGCGTCCCCTCAATTTCTTTGTCCAAGTCGCTCATAAAGACGTTGAATAACAAAGGGCCCAGGACAGAACCCTGTGGCTTGTCACTTTCCCCCCAGGATAACAAGGAACCATTAGTGAGCATTCTTTGGTTTCGGTCAGTGAGCCAGCTACAAATCCACCTAATGGTTTCCTCATTCAGCCCACAGTTTATCAACTTCTCTGCAAGAATATCATGGGGGACTTTGTCAAAAGCCTTACTGAAATCAATATACACTATGTCCATAGCATTCCCCTGATAGAGCAAGCTTGTAACTCTATCAAAGAGAGAAAGAGAGAGAGATTTGTCTGGCATGACTTGTTTTTGAGAAACCCAAGCCTCTTAGTAATCACAACATCCTTTTCTAAGTGCTCACAGAGTGACTGTCTAATCATCTTTTCTAGGATCTTTCCTGGTATCGACGTCAAACTGACCGGTCAGTAGTTCCCTGGGTCTCATATTTTTCCTTGATAGATATATTTCAAAACTTTATTTTCTGAACAGCTCTTGTTTCTAAGTCTATTGTGTTTTTGACATATAACATTCAGTTTTGTAACTATAAATATATTTAAATTATATCTTTTCCTGATATCCTAACTGGCATCACTTGTTTGCTAACTCCTTGGAAGTTGTGCGGTGCGGGATCAGCCAGCGAAACAGCTGAAAAGGGAACCCCTAATAAATATTCAAAGTCACACGGGGGGTGGGGTGGGACACAATATTTGCAAGTGGGATCTGCACATGCCCTCTCTTAGGACACTCCATTCCATTTGGTGTTATGTACCGAGTTGAATAGGATCCAAAAGGCAGCAGTCTGATTGGTCCTAGAACAATAGGATTCAGAATGCAGCAGTCTGATTAGTCTTAGAACAATAGGGTCCAGAATGCAGCAGTCTGATTGGTCCACAGGAGCCACCCAATCCAGCTCCAGGTGGAAGTGAATCCGCAACCTGATTGGCCTACAGGTGAATCCAGGAATTAGCCAATCATGTGGGGCCCATTGTGTAAGTAATGTATATAAAGCAGACATTCTGGGGAAACTTTTATTCCTCCTCACCACTATGAGCTGAATAAAGAGCATGAAATCCACTCTGGACTCTGGGTATATTTCATCCTCCTTCTTGTTTTCCCCAGTCCAAGAGTCATTCAGCTTTCCACGATCAGTGAGCATGCTCTGTCTCCGTTGGGCTGTGTCTGAGGTTTGTAGAGACCCCGTCTGCACGGTACGTTTAAAGCACTATCATACCACTTTAAACAGTCCTGGCTTTCCCCAAAGAATCCTGGGAATTGTAGTTTGTGAAGGGAACTGGGAGCTGTTAGGAGGCCCCTCTTCCCTTCCCCGGGCTACAATTCTCAGAGTTGTTTAACAATAAATCCCTCTTCCCAGGGAACTCTGGGATTTGCAGTTCTGTGAGGGGAATAACAACTCTCAACACCCTTGGATTGAGTATAATACGCAGCAGCAATTGATATTTAGAGGAAACCATGGAAGGGTAGAAAGGAAGTCAATGGTTAACATACTGTTTATTATTAATGTGTGAACAATTGTATTGTTAGAAAATTATAAATATTAAAAAAGAAAAGAAATCACACATACACATGACTCTCAACACCCTTTACAAACAACGGTTCCCGGGAGAAAGGCGTAACTGTTTTAAAGTGGTATGATACCGCTTCAAATGTACAGTGCAGATGGGGACTAAAGTAAGATTCAGTTATGGTGAGAGCAACATCTTGTCCTTAGCCTCAGGCCGCAAAATGTCTTGGGCTGGCCCTGACCATGCTCACTTCCGAGCATCAGACACAGAGGGAACGATAGTCAATTTGACTCTGGGGATTATAGTACTCCAGACTGACCAGCCTCCAATTTTTTTATTTATTTTTAAAAATCAGAATATCTGCACCGGAAATCCAGCTCAGAGACAAACCAATCATGCAGACCATCTGCTTGGTCCAGACAGATAATGCCACTTTCATTGTTCCCATAAGCTGGTAAGCAGCTTTTTTTAACAAGACGAAACCTTTAGGCTGGGAAATTTTGATGTAGGAGGCTTGCATATCCTGTTCCGGCTGGCTAGATGTTGATTTACGCATTATACAGAACCGAGACTGCTGAATTATGAAATAAGCCATTTTATATTTTGTGCATGTGCGTTTTCAGGGGCAGTGTGTGGACACGTAGTGTTGTGTTTTTCGGATCAAAACAGATCGGCTTTTACAATACCGGACAGCAAAGAATGACTCGAGCGAATTAGGTCAGTTCAATGCCATCATTATTTATTTTATTATAATAACATTTATGAGTCACCTCCCGCAAAATATTAGGGCACTGTGCAGCAACATACAAAAAAACCCCTCCAAAATGATACAGAATAATCATTGAATTGACCAGCTGCTCAAAGGACCTTTTAGACAACGGCACAGCCCATCCTATACTTTTAAACCACATTGAAAGCACACACACCCCACAAGAATCCTGGGAACTGTAGTTTGTTAAGGGTGCTGGGAATCGTAGCTCTGTGACAGGTAAATTAGTTCCCAGAATTCTTTGGGGGAAGCTATGCAGTTTCAAACGATGGGTGGGTGTAGCATATAAACACGTGAAGATGCTCCCAGAATCACATGCTTAACACAAAATCCAGCCAGCCCTCAGGGCAGTGGGTATTAGAGGACTCTGTGCAGGAGACAGGCCTGTAAGAGTGCCAGCCTAGTGTTGTCTTCGCCTGCCTCTTGTTGGAAGTGCAACAGCAGAGATCATTCAGTTTGTAACCTAAGGGGTTAAATCTGTTCTCAGTGTTAGTCTATTACCCAAGCCTTGTGTGTCGTGGTGTTGCTTAGCAACCTGCCAAAGTGGCATGATATTTGCTGAGGTAGCATGGGCTCTGATTGGCTGTGTAGTTCTGAGGGAGTTTTGTAGCTCTATGATGCGCTGAATGTCTCTCTGCTATGTACAAGGCCCAAAGGAAGAAAGACAAAGCCTTTCTCTTCAAATTATATGTTTTTTTCCAGTTTCACTCAGTAATGTCTTATCAGGATTTTTCTCAGTGGACTCTGCCTGCATTACTTAAACTGGGTTTGCTAACATGTTCAAGGGGCATGTCCTGTGTAGGAGAGGCATCCCAGCCAGATGGGCGGGGTATAAATAATAAAATTATTTTCTGAGCAGTTATGTACTGAGACTTTTCATGGCTGCCAAAGGAAGCGCTGGTGGTCCTTTGGCACCTGTGGGCACCATGTTGGGAACCCTGAGGGAAGAGATGGCAATGTGTTCAAGGTCAACCAGTGAGCTCAATGGCCAAGCAGGGATACCCAAACCTCTCCACTCCTAGCCCAGTGTTAGAATAACTATGCCACACTGGCTTTATTGAGCGCAGTGCAGGGGTAGTTTTGAGGAAGCCCATTGACTTCTGTGCTGGATGGCGACCTCTCGTTTTCCCTCCACCCATCAGAGATTCCTCTTGTCTATCAGCAGGAAGCAATCCGGTTTTAATTTCCCAGTAGGATTGCGGTGATGAGAGATAATTTTGGAGCCGATAAAGTCCTAAGAATCTACAGGCGTTTCAACAAGGCTTGTCCCTGCCAGGAATCCCAAGCCCTTCCTGTGCTCTTGGCAGGGCGCCAGACTCCAGACAGCAAGCCCAGGCCTTCTAACAAACAGTGGGCAGTTATTTAGGCATTTAAACGGCGCTTCTTTAGATGCAGGTTTGCACTTCAATCAAAAGGGACGCGGGTGGCGCTGTGGGTTAAACCACAGAGCCTAGGACTTGCCGATCAGAAGGTCGGCGGTTCAAATCCCATTGCTCGGTCCCTGCTCCTGCCAACCTAGCAGTTCGAAAGCACGTCAAGTGCAAGTAGATAAATAGGTACCGCTCCAGCGGGAAGGTAAACGGCGTTTCCGTGCACTGCTCTGGTTCGCCAGAAGCAGCTGAGTCATGCTGGCCACATGACCCGGAAGCTGTACACCAACTCCCTCGGCCAATAAAGCGAGATGAGAACCGCAACCCCAGAGTCGGCCACGACTGGACCTAATGGTCAGAGGTACCTTTACATTTACCTTTGCACTTCGATCACAACGCCAGCAGCAATGTAAGGGCATCAGATTCCATAAGTGTGTGCATAAGAAGCTTTCACCAACCTACTGCCTTTCAGATATTTTGGACTACAATTCCCATCAGCCCCCAGCTGAAGGGAGTTGTTGTCCAAAACTTCTAGAGGCCAGCAGGTTAGCAATGGCTGGTGTGCAGCTTTGCATAGGAAGATGCCTTATCTAAATCAAACTATTGCTCTGTTTACTTCAGGATTTTCTTCACTGGTTGCTTTCCAGGGGTTTCATACCAGAATGTGCAATTCATCCAGCCCAGACACTGAGGTCCAGCGCTGAGGGCCTTCTGGCGGTTCCCTCGCTGCGAGAAGTGAGGTTACAGGGAACCAGGCAGAGGGCCTTCTCGGTAGTGGTGCCTGCCCTGTGAAACGCCCTCCCAGCAGATGTCAAGACAATAAACAACTATTTTTCTTTAAAATACAACTGAAGGCGGCTCTGTTTAGGGAAGTTTTTAATGTCTGATGCTGTATTGTTTTTAATATTTGGTTGGAAGCCGCCCAGAGTGGCTGGGGAAACCCAGCCTGATGGGCAGGGTGTAAATAATAAATTATATTATTATTATTATTATTATTATTACTATTACTATTTCATTCTCTCCCCGTTTCTCATTTTTCCAGGCTTAACCTCAGGCCTCCACATTTCTGCATCTGTGTGGGATAAATATTTTTCAAATGGTCCATAGCTCAGTGGTAGAACATCTGTCTCCCAGGTTCATTCCCTTGCATGTCCAGGTAGGAGTGGGAGAGATTCCTGTGCAAAACCCTGTAGAAACAGTGAGCTAATCATAGGATCATAGAGTTGGAAGGGACCCTGAGGATCATCTAGTCCAACCCCCTGCAATGCTGGAATATGCAGCTGTCCCATGCAAGGATCGAACCTGCAACCTTGGCATTATCAGCACCATGCCGTAACCAGCTGAGCTATCCATGCACTAATGGTCTGATTCAGCATAAAGCAAGCTTCGTATGTCCCCATCACAAAATTTGGACAATTGCAAATTTTGAAAGGTGGCTGCATTTTGGTGCTCATATCGTTTGAGAAAGTGCAGGCGAGGTTGATTCTCATTGAAAGCTGAACCAACCCAATTCACCCTCTATCCCTAGCGGGGAGGGGGGGAGCAGGGTCAGGAGGAAATGTCAGCTTTGCCAGGCACCTGTTGAAGTATCCAACGACCCTTGGATATGCAAAACTGGAGCAGGTGAACATTTGCTGGCATGGAGATTTTGGAATTGGGGGCTGCTAAAGGCACAGACGCGGGTGGCGCTGTGGGTTAAACCACAGAGCCTAGGACTTGCCAATCAGAAGGTCAGCGGTTCAAATCCCCGCGACGGGGTGAGCTCCCATTGCTCGGTCCCTGCTCCTGCCAGCCTAGCAGCTCTAAAGCATATCTAAGTGCAAGTAGATAAATAGGTACCGCTCTGGTGGGAAGGTAAACAGTGTTTCCGTGCTGCTCTGGTTTGCCAGAAGTGGCTTAGTCATGCTGGTCACATGACCCGGAAGCTGTACGCCGGCTCCCTCGGCCTATAGAGCGAGATGAGCGCCGCAACCCCAGAGTCGCCCACGACTTGACCTAATGGTCAGGGGTCCCTTTACCTTTACCTTAAAGGCACAGAGGGCAGTCGGGAGAATAGGCAAAGCAGGACGAGATGGGCAGAAAAGCCTGATGTAATGCAAGGCAGCTTTCAGTGAACTCAGAAGGCTCCATCGCTCCTTGGCCTCTTTCCTATTCCCTTCCACACCCACAGGAAACTGGCGCGTTCTCAGAGCATCTGTTTCTAGCCATGTCTTTGCTTTAGGGACTATCGAAAAATGCTGAGTCTACGGAAGGCCTCACTCTCAGAGCCTCTTTCCAAAGCGCCTTTCATGCTACATTACCCGGCCTTGAAGCTGGTTCCAATAAGGTCCGGAAGGAGGTGTGACGAGGGAGGGGCTTTGCATCACATGGACAACAGCCTGACTTCCAGAGCCCAAATGGAGAGGGCAGGGGCGTCACCTGTCTGAACAGGGAAAGAGCCCTCAATTTAACTGCTGCCTGCTCTTCTTGCCAAATAAGTAGGCATCTGATGAACATTTCGACATGGTGAGGAAACCTTGCCTTTCTTACAGAATGCCTGCGACCATTAACTCCCAAGTCTGCAGGGAAATCTCGAGTTGTCGTATAAAGGCCAATCAAGCACTGGAAAATACATGATTCTGTTAAAAAAATCTGGGTGCTCCCCGCCCCCTCTCTCTGCCAAGGGGTAGCAAGATTCCTGGGGGTTCCAGGCACTTACTCCAGGTCTGTGTTCCTTTGGAGAATTGAGACACCATGGAGACAGCCATAGCTTTAAGAAATAGGATTTAGTCACAGATCTACACCTGACTGCATATCTTACAGCATGGTTATTTCAAGAGGGGCTCGTCCCCCACCCTGGAGTCCAAGCCATCTCTCCCAGCCAGCCTGCAGCCAACCTGCCCAAGATGGATCCCAGCCTTTTTTTCCTCCCCATTCTTCTTCTTCCCAGCACACCCTGCTCTAAGGACTCTCTTTTCCTGTCACTTTTAACCCACCCCCATCACTATGGCAACCTCTGTCTGCCCAGGCCAAAGAGTTCTCTTAGATGGGCTATCAGCCCCTTTTGTCATGTTAACACCTCTATCCCAGGTGAGGCACTGGCTTGGAAAGGAAGATTAACCTGTACTTTTCCACTAGCCTCCAATCTTCCCTTCAATACTCCAAATAATCAAAATCCTACCATTTATTAATTTCTAGGGTTTAGGGCTCCCCAAATCATTCAGTCATTCATTTATTCATTTTTTCCCCAGCCTTCCTTTCTTCCTTGTTGCACAGGAAGTCAACCTTGCTTTAAGCTGTTCAATTGTATGAAGGTGTTTGTTGTTATTTTGATTTTCATCGAATAATTGTTTATTTAAAGTTATTTAAAGAATTTACCGTACGTCCCACCTTTCTCCCAAAGGATAGCTCAGTCAGTAGAGCACAAGACTCTTAATCGTAGGGTCATGGGTTCAAGCCCCACGTTGGGCAAAGGATTCCTGCATTGCTGGGGGTTGGACTAGATGACCCTCATGGTCCCTTCCAACTCTAAAATTTGCTTCTAAACTGGGATTCAAGGCAGGAAACAACTTTTTAAAAGACATCATAATAAACCACAAAATAAACACAAGCTAGTTATAAACAGGGCAGCAACGGTACTGAGAGACTGGCATGGAAAGAAGACAGATACTGGATCTCATCATACCTGCTTCCAATGCAGCCACAAATTCTAGAGTGAACTAGAGAACAATCTCCACTGCAACCAGCGCTTATCCATTACTCTCCTGTACAAAATTCCCTCTTTCTCTCAAGCCAGTTCATAATGAAGCACTCCACCCGCTGCTGTTCTTACTTTACGGGAGGGAACTTGTATCTGAAGGAGTGTCTCCACCCCCATCGTTCATCCTGAACACTGAAGTCCAGCTCCGAGGGCCTTCTGGTGGTTCCCTCACTGCGAAAAGTGAGGTTACAGGGAACCAGGCAGAGGGCCTTCTCGGTAGTGGCACCCGCCCTGTGGAACACCCTCCCATCAGATGTCAAGGAAATAAACAACTATCTGACTTTTAGAAGACATCTGTAGGCGACCCTATTTAGGGAAGTTTTTAATGTTTGATGCATTACTGTGCAGTATTTTAATATTTTGTTGGAAGCTGCCCAGAGTGGCTGGGGAAGCCCAGACAGATGGGCGGGGTATAAATAAATTTATTATTATTATTATTATTATTATTATTATTATTATTATTATTAACAGCCCCCTCAACCTTTTCCACCGGTAACAGTGGCATCTGGGACACAGCCTCGGTGTGTGAGAGAGCGGTCATTCTGGGTGGGCTTCATTCCCTGCCAAACCGGTTGCAAGAAAAGTTAGGAAGCGATCATCGTTTTGTAGCATGTGTGGGCCTGAATGTGGAGTCACGGAGGCCAAGTAGCTGGAATCCAGTTTTCTCTTGGAGAGCGGCCCTGCTGATGGACCAAACCCAAATGTAGCCATAGCTATGAAGGACAGTACAAAGAGCATAAACAGCCCTGCTGTCCTAGAAGTCAGGCTCCAACTGAAAGGGCGGAACACACGCATTATTTTCCCTCTACTCTCTGCTTCCCACTTTGTGGGAGACAGACACACAATGGGGTTCGTCAGTTAAGTTTCTTTGGTCTACTGTTTAGGGTTATCAAGACAAACACAGCAGGGAAGGGGAAAGCCACAGTATTTAGGCACACAAATTGTGACTTAAAAAAATAATAATAGTACCACAAAATCCAGAAATGGTCAGAAATAGTTAAAAATGAAGGCTTATTGGATCTGCTGTCCAGAATATCTGGAGAGCACCTGGTTAAAGGTAGCTGACTTAGATATTCCACAAGTTTTTTATTCAAATGTTTTGATAGCACATCTTGAGGATTCAGGGGGTGGAAAGAAATATACAAGTTTCTCAGGCCTCAAAAATACTTTTCTTCCCCCATCACTTGAAGTCCAAATTACATGAAGGAAATGGACTTTTAATTATTCATTCTCTTGGCAGGATCTATTAAGAAATAATAAGATCAAATGGAAACTCCAATGCCTTTAAAAATATCTGCCTGTAATTGATGAAGGCTCTGAGAGGAGAGGTGGGGGAAATTCAATTACAGATCACAAGTTAATGAGCAGAAAGATGTCCGTTATTCAGCCATGTCAATTAATAAAGTGGGGGCACGGACAATCAACTGCTGTGCGCTTGGCTTTCGATTCAGGAAGGTTCAGTTCAGGGCTGTTGTCAGGACTCCAAGGTATAGACTGCATATACCCTATATAGTTGTACCTCAGCAGCCCATTCGACTTCCAAAATGTTCAGAAACCAAGGCACGGCTTCTGATTGGCTGCAGGAAGCTCCTGCAGCCAATCAGAAGCTGCAGAAGCCACGTCGGACATTCGGGCTCCAAAGAACGTTTGCAAACTGGAACACTCACTTCCGGGTTTGCGGCATTCGGGAGCCAAAACAATACGATACGATACGATACGATACGATACGATACAATAATCTTTATTGTCACTGTCCCATACAGAACAATGAAATTGAAAATCTACATCAGACATTCAGAAACCAACAAGCCAGCTATCCCAGCCTGGTTAGCCCCCTAAAAACTCTGATACCCCATAATTAAATACAATATACTCCCATAGAGACTACCTTACACTGCGTTTAAAACCAAAATCACATTTGAATAGAAACTGTTTCTCAGGTGGCTAGTCCTAGTCTTTATAACCCTGTACCTTCTTCCAGAAGGCAGAAGCTGAAAGAGATCATTTCTGGGGTGTGCACTATCCTGCGCTATCTCTACAGCTTTCTTATAGCACCTGGAAGCATAGATTTGATCCAAGGTGGGAAAAGTGCACCCAATTATTCCCTCTGCAGTCTTTACAACCCTGGACAACATTGTTTTTTCCCAGACCGTGCAGCTCCCAAATCACACACACAGACCATAAGTTAATACACTCAACTCTCAAGGCGTTTGGGTTCCAAGGTACGACTGTACGTTTAAAGCACTTGACACCTCCTAAAGAATCCTCGGAACTGCACTGACTGAGGCGTCATGCCTCTGAATACCAGTGGCTGGGATACCCAGGTGGGCAGAGGAGCTGTTGAGCTCACGTCTAGCTTGCAGGCTTCTCTCAGGCATCTGGTAGGCAACTGTGAGAGCAGGATGCTGGGCTAGATGGGCCATGGTCCTGATCCAGCAGGCTCCTCTTACATTCTTATGTTAACACTAATTCACACTTCCTAAAACGCTGGTTGGACTAGTTGGACACAAAGGAACATGGAGAGGAAGCAGCTGGGGAACCGCCATCGGAAGAAGGCTCAGAGCCGGGGAGTGGTGGTGGGACAACGATGAGTGGTCAGAGGGAGAAGACTGGGGTGTGTGTGTCAGAAGCTGAAGAGGTAGCAGGGCTTAGTGAGATGGAGGAGTCTGTGGCAGAGAGCAGTCCAGAATCAGGGGCAGAAGCTGAAGCAGGAGAGTGAGATGAGGGAGGCCGAGAGGCTGAGATGAGTCTGGCGTGGGAAGAGGCATTGGTGTCTCACCCCTCCTGCTGCAAAAAGTTTCCCTTCCCTCTGGTTTCCCAGTACAGTGGTACCTCGGGTTACAGACGCTTCAGGTTACAGACTCCGCTAACCCAGAAATAGTACCTCAGGTTAAGAACTTTGCTTCAGAATTAGAACAGAAATCACGTGGCAGCAGCGGGAGGCCCCATTAGCTAAAGTGGTACCTCAGGTTAAGAACAGTTTCAGGTTAAGAACGGACCTCCAGAATGAATTAAGTTCTTAACCAGAGGTACCACTGTACCAGAAGAGGCATGGAAAGGGCGGAGGGGAGATTGGCAACGTCATAATATGCGCTCCATCCTGTCTTGCCTGTGAAACCTTCCGTGAATGTTTCCTGCCTTTGTGCTTCTGACAGTTATCCCCCATGTTGAGACGAGCCCCCTGGCCACTTTGCCATCAAATGCTCACTTTAGATCCCTCCTGGCCTCTGGCAGGTTTCCGAAGGCTTTGCTGAGACCAGCAACGCCTGGAGGCAGAAGCGGAAGAAAGGGTGCCTTTCGAGTCAAGAGTCTGCTTCGATTTCCGAAGGCATGTCACATCCTCTGGATGGTTTCAGCCTGTCATAGCCAATAGGAACTCTGACAAAACATCTCTTTTCCTTGGCAGTGGCAGACAATGAATATATCCCGTCTTTGCACGGTGGCTGTGTGTCCTACTTTACAGAGGACAGACTTGTATTTGAAGGTGTACTCTATTCAAAGAGCTCCCTGGTACAGGTTGTTGTTGTTTAGCTGTTTAGTCGTGTCCGACTCTTCGTGACCCCACGGACCAGAGCACGCCAGGCACTCCTGTCTTCCACTGCCTCCCGCAGTTTGGTCAAACTCATGCTGGTAGCTTCAAGAACACTGTCCAACCATCTCATCCTCTGTAGTCCCCTTCTCCTTGTGCCCTCAATCCTTCCCAGCATCAGGGTCTTTTCCAGGGAGTCTTCTCTTCTCATGAGGTGGCCAAAGTATTGGAGCCTCAGCTTCACAATCCGTCCTTCCAGTGAGCACTCAGGGCTGATTTCCTTAAGTGCTCACTGGAAGGACAGATCGTGAAGCTGAGTACAGGGTAAAAATAAAAGACCTTAACCTGGGTGTGCAGCAGAGGCCTTGAAGTCTCCCATCAACACCTGGACAGTAGCCAGAGCAGGCAAACAGCTCACCTGGTCACAGTCCTTCCTACTGTGGCTGCCATAGGTTCCATGGCACCAACTGGGGCTGGCAGGCAGATCTGTCAGAGGAAGAGGATCCAGGAGTTGCTGTTACTTTCAGTTGGCAAACAATACATAGTTATTACTCCCTCTGCCTTTGCATTGTGTTTCCTTTGCTCTGCAATGAGCAGGGTGGAATAACGTAATGACAACGTCATTTATGTAATGAATTGTGTAAGTTCAGCACCATGGACAGCAGGGGAAATTATGTCATTTTCAGTGGAAGGTGAACTGCAGCAGAAGAGAAACGCTGCTGAGTGTGACACGTACAGGGAGAAACTATGCCTTCTTGTATCTCTGTCCCACCCATTGCAATGTATTTCTGCAACACTTTCAAAACCACAAGAAGTCCATTTTAAAAAATGGAATTGTTGCAATGGGGCGACAGACCCCTTTTGTCCACTTTAAATGCAGACACGTAATGTTTGCGTTTGAATCCCTCCTGCAAAATAGTCTGGAGGCACCCACAGCTGCATTCTACAAGGAAAGATGCATTTGCATCTGGTTGCTAATGGAGATCCATACAATATAAAGTGCTTGTGTAACCTTCTCTGTGGGTAAGGTATTGTCCAGAGCGCCTGCCAAGCTGTGCCAGCCATATCCTTTGTTGGGGAAATTGCAGGCCAACGGCTTTAGATGGGGAACTGTTGTGTCCACATTAGGATCTAATGGTCAGGAGATGTGCAGAATTTAGCAGTGCACCGCTACACACAGCACAATGCAAAAGTTAAGTTGTTGTGTGTGTGGCATTGGCAAGACAGAAAACATTTATCCCGTGCAAAAAGGCACAATTTATTTATTGTGTTATAATTTCATTACATTTGCATGCTGTTTGATTGTAAAAAAAAAAAAAAACCTTCAACGCGGTTTAGAAAAAGAACAACACAATAAGACTGTCAGTAAAAGGAGTTAAACAGAGCTATTTAAAACACTCAAAGAATAATTAAAATCAAAAACAAGCTAAAACAGGCTAAAACATATGTCATCATTCTACATATCTGGGGAGGCTGGCCTAAACAAACATGTTTTTAGCAGATGTCAAAAATTCTTTTGACACGTGCCAGATTATCCTTCCTCACTCATCCCACTTAGCGGAGGCAGCTGAGACGGTGATATTTGCAAACCTGATTACATTTCAGAGTAGGGGAACTTGACTCCGTCATATACCTGGCAGCTGGCAGACCATGCATGCCCTCGTTCCTCAAACTGAAAAGCCAGGCTGGTAGCGAACGGAGTCTCTTTGTCAGAAAGGGTCATTCTTGTGCAAGTGGGGGTGGGCAGGTGAAGATGGAGGGCAAATACAACCTTTTTTTCCATTACGAGGGCCAGGTCAGTCCCAGCTGGTATCAGCTGGCAGGGCTCCCTTAATGAAAAAGCATAAACAACATGTGTGAGGTAGCAAACAGCTGCAACATTCCGGTGATGCGTTCTGGGTTTCCTGATGGAACAACAGGTTCCTGTTGTTGGGTTCCTGGAAGGAGAAAGACACCTCCCCACACATACTTTTGTATTATTATTTTTTAATCATTTTTCTTTTTTTCTTTTTTGACAAATCTTTTTTTATTAAGTTTTACACTGCCAATTTACATTCAAACATTAAACATCAACATCATCATTTAGAATTCCCTGAATCCTTCAACTCCCCTCTGCCCTTCCATGGTTACCACTATCAATCTTTTTTCTCTTATTTTCTCTATTTTTCTTAAATAATCCATTTTTACCACAAGCATGACTCAAATCCTGCCAAAGTTTTTAGTTGTTTACGGTGTTCTCTTCAATACATTGTATTTTTTCCCCATTCCTTCTTAAAGTTCTTTTCTTCCTGGTTCTGATTTTCCCTTTCAAGTTCACCATTTCAGCACAGTCCATTATTTTATATTATTTTTAAATACACACACACACAGAGTAAAGAAAGTTCAAAGTATTAAAACAAAACACACACACACAATATATATTTATTGAATGGTTTCCTGAGCATCAGCCTCAAAGAGAATCACAGTATATCTGTTGTAATAATGTTCACTGTGATGTTTAGTAGATTAACGTAAAGAGACTCTTCACAGATCTACGTGGGTTGATGGAGAACTTAAAATGCAACTGGATTTGTTAAAATAAAACCAAACCAAACTATGCCATAGCCATCTTTTTAACCTTTCATAGCCTTCGTCCTTTCTGTTAACTTTTCAGCTGAAACAATTTGCCAGAGGTTTGTGTACTACCTGGGCAATGTTAATCCTAGACCAGTTATCCAGTGCTTACATCTTCTTCTTTCAAATTGTATTATTTTATATTTATCATCATACATATTGCATCTCCAACCATAATACAGCTTGTATCTGATTGAACAAGAAGCTTCAGCAAACAGGAAACAGAATGAAAACAAATTATCCTAACTGGTACCCTGCTTATAACTAATCGAGCTGTATGTATCGTGTGCAGCCCTGCTTCTGTTCTGCTGCAGTTCATCTCCTAGCAAAACCTACATTATTTGTTGCACCATCTACTATGGCAAAATTATGTAAGCTACTTAATTGACTGTGTAAATTACATAAGTTGCGTTGCTATTACATTTGTTGTTGTTGTTTAGTTGTTTAGTCGTGTCCGACTCTTCGTGACCCCATGGACCAGAGCACACCAGGCACTCCTGTCTTCCACTGCCTCCCGCAGTTTGGTCAAACTCATGCTGGTAGCTTCGAGAACACTGTCCAACCATCTCGTCCTCTGTCGTCCCCTTCTCCTTGTGCCCTCAGTCCTTCCCAGCATTAGGGTCTTTTCCAGGGAGTCTTCTCTTCTCATGGGGTGGCCAAAGTATTGGAGCCTCAGCTTCACAATCTGTCCTTCCAGTGAGCATTCAAGGCTGATTTCCTTCAGAATGGATAGGTTTGATCTTCTTGCAGTCCATGGGACTCTCAAGAGTCTCCTCCACCATACCGGTAATTCAAAAGCATCAATTCTTCGGCGATCAGCCTTCTTTATTGTCCAGCTCTCACTTCCATACATCACTACTGGGAAAACCATAGCTTTAACTATACGGACCTTTGTTGGCAAGGCTATGACTTTACTCCACCCTATTCATTTTGATGCAAAGGAAACAGTGCAAATTGGGGCAGAGCGAGGTAGGCGACAAACTACCCGAATTTCGTACGTCATCTCCCCCACTCCACCCCAATCTGCACTGTGTTTCCTTTGCATCAAGACTTGGGTTGAATCCCATGTCTTGCATCCCTTCCAGACTTGGGACAGATAAGTGAACATCAGCAATATCCATTTCTACTTTTGTCTGATTTCTCTGACATCCTAAGATGTAACAGCTTTGTCCCTGAAAAGCAACTGTGAATTGAATGATCCAGTGGTTGCTGCTACTGGTGCAAAGGAAGAGAAGAGCCAGAGGCTGTGGGGCGTTTTGATGTGCTACTGCTCATGGGAGCCCAATGGGCTGCAGTACAGCTTCATGACACATGCCTCCAACATAATACCTCTGCTCCTTACCCCTCAAGCATCTTCCTCCCAAGGCAACTGGCTGCCTCATTCCGCCTCAGGGTTCTGCACAGCTGTAGCTTGGAGCACTTCTTCAGAACAATCTTGGTTTTTTTTCTTTCAGCGCTCCTGAGCAGTGGAAGGCAAACTGTTCTGCCTAGTGCCTTTCTCCAGAGGAGTCAAGTCAGGATGAGTCACTCAGAACCCACCGCCCTTTCCCCAGAGGTACACACATGCAGATGAGGCCCTGACAAGCTCAGCTGCTGTTTTTATTGACACTCCGAGACAAAAGCATCAATCATGAAGCTGGCAGAAAGTGGGTTCCAAAGAACCGAGGCACCTCAGCGCACGACAGCCACTCCAGAAGAGCATGGAAATGCCGCAAAAACAATGATCGCTGAGCGTCTTGTCGGTGTGAAGGAATTGACAAGGGTGTCTACAGCTGAAATATACTCGGAGTCGAGAGTGGATTTCATGCTCTTTATTCAGCTCATAGTGATGAGGAGGAATGGAAGTTTCCCCACAATATCTGCTTTGTATACCTTATTTACACAATGGGCCCCACGTGATTGGCTAATTCCGAGATTCTCCTGTAGGCCAATCAGGTTGTGGATTCACTTCCACCTGGAGCTGGATTGGGTGGCTCCTGCGGACCAATCATACTGCTGCATTGTTCTAGGACCAGTCAGACTGCTGCATTCTGAATCCTATTTTTCTAGGACCAATCAGACTGCTGCATTTTGGATCCTATTCAACTCAGTACATAACAACAGCCTTCATTGTGACATCAACTCAGTGAATGCAGTGCCACTCATCAGGTGCCTCCATCAATGCATAGAGAGACACGGCCCTTTGTTGGCATCCTTTTGGGGGCAACATGCATATGAGGCAAAATGGCACACAAAAATGTGCAGAGGAGAAATTTGCACTAAAATGATGGTGAATTTTCAGGAGGACTTTTTTTAAAAAAACCAAAAACAACTGAAGCAAAAATAGACAGAGCTGAACATCAGCTTGGAAAAATGAGGAACTTACAATTAAATCGACAGCGGGGAGCAGAAATGGGGGAGAGAAGAAACAAGGATATACAGTGGTACCTCGGGTTAGGAACTTAATTCGTTCTGGAGGTCTGTTCTTAACCTGAAACTGTTCTTAACCTGAAGCACCACTTTAGCTAATGCGGCCTCCCACTGCTGCCGCTGTGCAATTTCTGTTCTCACCCTGAAGCAAAGTTCTTAACCCAAGGTACTATTTCTGGGTTAGTGGAGTCTGTAACCTGAAGCATCTGTAACCTGAAGCATCTGTAACCCGAGGTACCACTGTATACACAAATGGAATTACCGGTACATGTGGGTCATAGGTCCACCCTAGTTCTGTA